TAATTTAAATACATGTAGATGAATATTTGGATATTTAATAATATTTTTGAATACTGAGTCAGCAGTTTTTTGCCGAGTCAACAGTTTTTTTTGTTGAGTCAGCAGTTTTTTGTTGAATCAGCAGTTGCGTTTGTTTGATTTGAAAAAAATTTAAAAATTTGGGTATTTATGTGAGAATTTTGAAAAGTTCAGGTATTTATATGATAATTTTATAGTTCGAATATTTATTTGGGATTTTTGTAAAAATTCGGTATTTTTATGCGATTATCCTTTTTGTTTATTTACGATTTTCAGGTTTTTTTTTAATTTATATCCAAGAGACGGTCTCTCAATTGGGCCAGACCTTTAATCAGGCCCATTTATCTTGCTATTGGACTTTAGACACTTTCACCCGATTTACTCACTTTATATACACCAATTTTTATATTAATATATATAATTATATAACGAAGCTAAATGGACCGACCGTTACTTGTTATCTGCACGAACAAAACTACTGGCTCTCAGATCAGAACGATCAAACGAGATCATAAGAAGATAGAGAGGGAGAGAGGGAGAGAGGAGAAGCAGAAAAATGGCGGCTCTATCTTCTTCCTCTCTGATATTCACATCGAAATCAACACAATCTCTGACCAATCTCTTCCCAACATCTCTCCCTCGCATTTCTTTCTCTGCTTCCTCTTCGTCTTCCCTGTCTTCCTCGGCCTCTTTCTTCACATACCCACAGAGAAGTCGGAGAATGTTGGATCCGAGGGGGTTCACGGTGAAGGCAAGTGCTGCCGCCGAGGAGAAGAAGAATGTGCTGATTGTGAACACCAACAGCGGCGGCCACGCCGTCATCGGCTTTTACTTCGCCAAAGAGCTTCTCGCCGCCGGCCACTCCGTCACCATCCTCACCGTCGGAGACGAAGCTTCCGACAAGATGAAGAAGCCTCCCTTCAGCCGCTTCTCCGTCAGTTCCCCAATTCCAAACACTCACTATTAAGATTTGCATCGCCAAATTGGCCTAATTGTTTCTCTGTCTTATGCAGGAAATTGTGGGCGGCGGAGGGAAGACGGTGTGGGGAGACCCGGAAAGTGGTCGGAGGGGAGGCATTTGATGTTGTGTTGGACAACAACGGCAAAGATTTGGACACAGTCAGGTTCGGTCTCCATTCTCTTGTTCATGAATTCAATTCACATGATTCCATTCGAAAACAACAGTAAGATGGATGGATTCATCTTCCGAATAGACCGGTGGTTGATTGGGCCAAGAATACCGGAGTGAAGCAATTCTTGTTCATAAGCAGCGCCGGAATCTACAAACCCACTGACGAACCTCCTCACGTCGAAGGAGTAAGGAACTGTTAGATTCCTTCCCATATTCTACAGGGCTCTTCTCACTGTAGTGTTCTCCGCATGGCAGGACACAGTAAAAGCCGACGCAGGTCATGTCGGAGTAGAGAAGTACATAGCCGAAACCTGTGGAAACTGGGCAGTCTTCAGACCACAGTACATGATCGGCTCCGGTAACAACAAAGATTGCGAAGAATGGTTCTTCGACCGTAAGTTTCCCAATCTTCAGACATTTGGACACAACAATCGGGACATTAAAGCGCTTTTTCTTTCTTGCTAAAAAGAAAAACATTGTGGTGTTGAGGATAGGGATTGTGAGGGACAGACCAGTACCTATTCCGGGGTCGGGACTGCAGCTTACAAACATAGCCCATGTGAGAGACTTATCATCGATGCTGACCTTAGCCGTCCAGAACCCGGAGGCCGCTTGTTGCAACATATTCAACTGCGTTAGCGATAGAGCCGTCACTCTTGATGGCATGGCCAAGCTGTGTGCCGCTGCTGCCGGCAAATCGGTGGAGATTGTTCACTACGATCCCAAACAGATTCTTTCCCTTACATAACAAATTTTTAAAGATTTTTTTTTGAATGGGTGTATAAATATGGAAAAATGCAGCATTTCTACGCCGAGCCAAGAGCAGCAAAGGAGATTTTGGGGTGGAAAAGCACGACAAATCTGCCTGACGATTTGAAGGAACGGTTCGAAGAGTATGTGAAGATCGGGAGAGACAAGAAAGACATCAAATTCGAATCCCTTACATAACAAATTTTTAAAGATTTTTTTTTGAATGGGTGTATAAATATGGAAAAATGCAGCATTTCTACGCCGAGCCAAGAGCAGCAAAGGAGATTTTGGGGTGGAAAAGCACGACAAATCTGCCTGACGATTTGAAGGAACGGTTCGAAGAGTATGTGAAGATCGGGAGAGACAAGAAAGACATCAAATTCGAATTAGACGACAAGATCCTCAAAACTCCTGTTGCCGTTTGATCCCATCACGAATCACCCCCCCATTTTCATCAAACCAGATCCTCTTCGCCTCATTCACTTGTGTACTTTCTTCTCATATCATGAAATAAACATCACACCTGTCTTCCTATGCCATTCGGATCGAGCCCTGAAGTAGTGACCCAAATAACAATGCTTTTATGTAACAGAAGATCAACGGTTCTGTTCTACAAGAATATCGCTCCTAAATCCAAGTTTCTGATGACAAAGCTTTAGCCTTTAGATCTTTCACCTGCGGCTACATTAAAATGTTCATAACATCTCCCCCTTCTAAAGAACAAGCTGATTCCAAGAATTGTTGGAGATAATTCAATAAAAATATACCAACTACATGGAAACGGTGAGAGAACGAACTATCATGTTACCTCCTATTCCCCATCTTGCTTAATTTTAAGGCCTCCTAGTTTTGCTTCCAGTTCCTCATCTTCTTCAGCCTCCTCTTCTTCACTTTCATCACCGATATCTTCTCCATCGGGATCATTATCGTCCAATGGTCCAAGCTTATCCAGGGAATCCTTAAATATTTCGTTCACCTCATCAATACCTTCCTCTGATACAAAATTCCCGTTTATGTTCAGCAGCTTGAACCCGGGTTTGTTCACAACAGCTTGCGCCAAAGCCCTTGATCCAGCCCTTCTGATCATGTTGGTGCTCAAGTCTACTTCCGCCAGCTGTTCATGGCCTTCTATTGCTTTGGCAATCAAGATCGACCCTTCATCTTTGAGTTCGTTTTCTGACAGGTTCAACTTCATAAGCGACAGTTTCGAGGCAATGCAAGTTGCCAATTTAGCCGAGGACTTTGCAGTAATATCGTTCCCAGCCAATTCCAGAACTTCGATAGGAGCAGCAGATTTTGTTAGGGCCTCAGCAAGAGCATCTGTGCCGGTATCCTCCAAGTTCAGATAACTCAGGTAGATCTCAGTCAGATCGGTCAGCCTTGATAAAGCCTTGGCCAAAGCAATCCCACCATCTACACCAAACATGTTGTCACGGAGATCAAGCTTCTTCAAACGGGTACAACACTCAAGTGCTTCGGCTAGGGCAACACCGCCTTCTGAACCAATTCTCGTGGATGAACACCGGAAATCTTCTAAAGATGGGCACCCCCTAACTATCTCTCCAATAGCAATTGCTCCTTCATCTCCTGTCATGTTGTTATGAAATTGAAGGACTCTGATTTTGTCCGTTGAAGTAAGAAGCTCACGAACTGCCCGCGCAGCATCCTCTGAGATGCCATCATTCATTAAATAAAGCTCCTCCAGATTTTTCTGAGATTTAATGAGAGACCCGAATGCCCTAATTCCTTTTTCACCTAAGGCATTATCCGAAAGATTCAAGTATCTCAGCTGACAACCCTCCAAGGTCGAGGAGAACATATTCATGACTTCAAGTGCTTCTGCCTCTGGCCTACCTGCCACAAAATCTGAAAGGTCCACTTCTGTCAGCTGATCCTTGATAGAAGTCAAGATGGTCGCTGCAACATTAGCTGCTTCCAAGCCAAAACTTCTGTTGCTAAAACAAATTTTGGTGAAGGAGTTTTGCGGCTCAGTCAAAGGTCTCAAGAGTTCCCTAGTTTCTTCCCCTTCAATAAATGCCCTACGACCACCAGATATATCAAACAGAACATTTTCAATCTTCAACTCCACATGGGACTTTACCTGTGGGCCACGTTTGATCACTTCAAGCATGTGCTTACTCGATTCTTTGGCATATATTTGCACAGCAGAGCTGCCATCACCATCAGGCTCATTTTGGAAGTGTTTGTTTGCAGTAGCGAAAGCCACCTCTTCTATCCGTTTGGCGTCTTCTTCAGCCTCTTCCAGACTCAACAGGCCATATTTTCTGGAGAGGATTGAAGGAGTCGTTAGGTTCTTGGCCATCCGCTCAACAAGCATTAGCCGGGTACTCTGACTTGGGGGCCACAGTTTCACCGATAGAACACGGTTTTGTGTAGCTTGCACAGAGGGATCCATGATAACTGATCGATCCTGTTTTTGGAACGAACAAAGAGATTATTTACCATCAACCAAAACCTAATAAGTAAAAATGGCCCGAAAATAATGATCGTTGGGAATGCTTAAAAGGCACAACAAGAACCCGGCAGGAAAGGTTAAGCCGGGAACATTAAGAGTTAGAAGTCTCAGAACAACACACGCAGCTTTTTTGATCCGGAAGTGTCTCAAACACAAATATTGAACATAACAAAGTAATAAGAGATCAAATAGAGTAAAATGGCCTAGGATAAGAAAACGTTGTGAGCATGTCCTGAACTTTTTTTTTGGACAAGGATTTAGTTGATCAATCTGACTTTTGAAGAAGAAAGTCGCCTCTACCCACTCCCAAAAAAAACGTCAATCAACCTACACTCGATACACCCATCAGAAGACTACCTTCCCCTTCGCTGTATGAAATTTCACCAAAACAAAACGCAATAACAGGCAGAAGGCAAACAATTCATGGGACTCGTTTTCAATTACCGTGTTGTTGAACAATGAACAACAAATGCAAAAACAACGGCGAGATTCAACTCAGATTATAACTTGAAATTTACCTTGGAAAAGCACACGAGGCTTCAAAATATCTAGAAAAAAAGGATTAAACTACAAACCCAAAAATCACCGGAGAAGAGTAAAGCAATCAGAATATCGAAACAAGATCCGGAAGGGCAGAAATGTCGAGAAATGGGACAGAGAATTCACCTTACCAATAGATTAGAGGGATGGTCGACAATCGGGAATCGAACGGTAAAAAGGGGGACCAGATTCAGAGAAGCGTGATGAAGAAGCAGAAGTTAGGGAATCATTGATCCTCGTGATGATAATGGAGGCAATGATGTTTACGAAAACTTTTAAAATCAAATTCAAAAAGCACCAAATTTCGCAAGTGAGAGCCAAATCGAAAAAATATGATTGCTAGTTAGGGTTTCCTCTGGGTGAAATGACCATAAACGCCTAAGAATTATCTAGGCCCAGCCTTGTTTGGTTTTCATTTTGGGCCCAATCCTTATATCATTGGGCCTATATTACCCACTGTAATTCGGTCCACTAATTAGTTTGCTTGCTTAAATCGGTAGGGATCTTTTTGGGTTATACCGATTTTTTTTATAATCCCTAATTTCACTTATCTATCTTTTAGTTTTTTTTATAGTTTTGTTGATTCTAATTTATGATTATAGATATTATATTTGTAATATAATATTATAATATATAGTTTGCCCCATTGCTTAAGTTACATAATTTCTTAAGTAAACGATCTCAATCATTGAAAACTCAAAATGAAACGAGTGGGAGGTGGGCCCGCCTGAGGGAAAATCGCCGAATTGTGTGTGAGTGAACGAACTGTGCTGGACTCACACCGACGCGAATCTTCCCTCACGATGCCAACTTAGCTCTCTCTTCCCCTTCCTCTTCATTTTTTTTTTCATTTATTTTACTAAAATCTTATATATTATATTACAATATATAATTAAAAAAAAAAACACAGAAAGGAGCATCCCACCTTCTTCCTCCCCAGTTGCTCCCTGTAGAGAGAAATATGGAGAATCGCTGAGGATAAGCATCTTCCTGCTTCCATGTCCCAAGTTTCTTCTTCTCTGCCTTTTTCTACTTCTCCGTAGAAGAAGAAATTTTTGGGCTATTTTCCCGGCAAAATCTGCGAGTTCCCTTTTCTTACCTGAGGTAATTTGTCTAGCCGTCTTTAGGTGCTTTTGTCGTTTCGCGGATTTATCTGTTTCCCTTTTGGGTATTGGTGGTATATCTCGGCGTTTGAACTCGAAAGTCATTTCGTTTTTGCTCGGATGGATGCCTTTAGGTCGCCGTAAGAGCGAATTTCCCATGGGATTACAAATTTCTGGGTAAATTAGGGTTCCGGATCCAAGATTTAGATGTACGTTTCTGGTTTTAGTGCATTGCTTTTGAGGCGTCTAATTGCCCCTGGCAAAACTTGTCGGATCTCGATGCATTAGTAGGGATTTTGCGACGATTTTGGGCGCCAAGAGTGATGGATAAGTCGTTTTACTTGATTCAACTTAATCGAGCGACTAACTGAACTATGAATCGAAACTAGAGCTTTATCCAGACCAATAAGGCTATTGTCTTGTCGGTGGGTGCTATAAATCTTAAGTTTTTATTCATTGTCGTTGACATTAATACTCTTTCTCATTTCCAGATCCGTTTGAGAAATGGGCACCCTTCCTCCAGATTCAGAAAGCTTTGATTCAGATCTATGCCTCAGAATGGGGCTCATACTCTCGAGTAAACGGGTTAAAGAGTCACCGATGGTTCTGTCATGGCTTTCTTCGTCTCTGGAGAGATCTGTGCTGCAGAATGAGAAATTAATTGGATCGTTCGAGATCAAAGACTCTGCAACTGTGTTTCATGGGCGGTCTCCGCCTGACATCAGCGTCAGGCAGTACTTGGACCGTATCTTCAAATACTCCGGCTGCAGCCCCTCTTGCTTTGTCGTCGCCCAGATTTACATGGATCGGTTCCTCCAGCTGGCTCGTGTTCATCTCACATCGCTCAATGTCCACCGGCTTCTCATAACAAGTGTCATGTTGGCTGCAAAAGTCTTGGATGACAGGTAGATCACTACTCCATCTCTTTTGGTATGTTCTGTCATCAGTATGAAATCATAGGCGAGCTCCACTTCGCCAACTTTCCACAAAAGACTCGCAACAGAACATGGGGGGTTTTGTGGTTCAGACATGTCTTAAGACCTATGTCTTCCAGAGTTCTGATCCCTTTGACTGAAAAAGAAAAAAGTCAAGAGTCTTTGAGAATTAAAATGTATCTAAACTCAACAAGGAAACAAATGTTAAACATAACTAATAAAAGAATCCAATCGCATTACAACATGAAAAACATTCTTAGCCAGGGTTCCACATGATCATGGCAATTTGGCTTTTAATAATCTGGGGGGATTTTTCACTGCAAGGAAAAATTTGAGGGTATTCAAATCTTATTCAGCTTTACAGGTTTCATGGATCCTCATACTCGACCGATATCTCTCTGTTTCCGGATTTGCAGGTATTTCAACAATGCCTACTATGCAAGAGTTGGGGGTGTGAGCACGAGAGAATTGAACAGATTGGAGATGAAATTATTGTTTACGCTTGACTTCAAGCTTCAAGTAAAGCCCCAGACATTTCATGTATATTGTTGTCAGTTGGAGAAAGAAACAAGTGGGGAGGGGTTTCAGATCGAGTGGCCCATCCAACAGGCGTGTCGAGCCAAAGAAGAGACTTGGCCAAAGAGGAGGCCGGAGTCAGCCTGCCCTCAAACGACAGCCCGGTGACTGCAGAGGGTATGATATCGGATTTGGTTGGTAACACTGGCGATTCTTTTCCACTGTTGTTGTGATTTTGTACTGTGTGTAAAAATATGTGCGGTTCTTCTCATAGGTAAAAGGGTTGGTACGTCCTCTGGTGTGTTGAAAATGTATTGCATTCTTTCTAGGTTTTTTGATTGTATGTGACACACACTCTTGCCCCTTTTTAGATTCACCATTTGAGGTGATTGTGATTTGGCTTAAAAAGAAATTGTCTGTTCATAGGTCGTGAATAATTGCAGCATGATGATGGATAAACATTACAGAACATGAAATTGTAAAATCCCCTCCCAGGTTATGAAGTCGTTATAAAGAAATTATATGTGCGTGTGAATGTAAAGGAATACGAGGCTTTTAGGTTTCACAATATATGGCAAAGGTAGACTTCGCAGGGAGGAGTAGCCTTCGCCACCGGGCTACTGCTACTGCTCGGCTGGGACGTGGAATGGTCAGGCTGCTCTTCTCCTTCTTCCGAAGCTACCCTCTCCCTCGATGCTCCGTCAACGGGAGAAGGGACCGGCGGGACGCTTCCCTCGACGGGAGAAGGGACCGGCAGGACGTTTCCCTGGACGGGAGAAGGGGCCGGCGGGATGCTTCCCTCGACGGGAGAAGGGACGGGCGGGAGGGGAGAATGGACGGGAGGGACGTCGGTGGAGGGGGGATTGTCGAAAGTGAGTTCGATCTTCATGCGGGAGATGCCTCGTTCGATTTTCATGTGGGAGATGCCTCTGTTGCCGTTGCTGACTATCAAGTGGCCCATCGCGGGATGGGGAGAGTGTGTTTCCTTGGAGATTTGGATTCTTTTGGCAGCTTTGCCTAGCTTTTCTCTAAGCTCTCCCGCCTCCATTGAGCTCTTCACCTCTATCGTCCCTTCCCTCTCCCCTACCCAATTCACTCCTGCCAATTTATTTATTTATTATTATTATTATTATTATCATAATATACACACACACACGATACACACACGTAGTGCATGCATGCATGCGTTTTGACTGCATATTATATTCCGATAATTAGTTACCATCGATTTTTTCAAGGGCGTGTTTAATCTTCCTTCGACAGTGCATGCATCCACAATCTGCTCTCAATCTCACAACTTCATTCCTCTCCTGCATTCATTCAATACATTGTGTATTTTTATATATAAAGTATTTTCATGTTATCACATTTATAAAAATATATATATAAATAAACAACCTGAGGAGGAGGCTGATGTAATTGCTTGGATGAGCTTTCCATTCTTTGTATTACGAATGATAATCGGGTGGGAAGATGTTTCTAAATACTCCTATACTGCTTTCATGTATCTGTGTGTGTGTATATATATACGATTGAATACCCCTACACGCACCGCGTGAATGTGTCTTAAAACCAGAGTGCAATTCCATCTTTATTGCTCTAGTTCTAATTAATTCAGAAATTTCATCTATAACTTTAACATGCTGATTTACATTTATTTAATAAATCATTGAAAGAGACGGTCCATTGTGGATCGACGAGGATCGAGTAAATCATAACTCATATTCTAACTCGTCGAACGTGAGTCTAGTTGCTAAATTCACGTCATGGATAAGACAACTTTCAATATATGATTTTACATTAATATCTATTCAACATTCGTGTATCATGTGATACCTGAACTTGCCAAATTTGTCAAAATAAACCTAAATTAATTTTTTGTTAAATAAAACCCGAACTCTAATGTTGTCATATAAATAAATTCGAAAAATCATATCATATTTAACCCTCAATTTTAATATGTATTAAGAACGATAACGTATCAATTTTGATTTTAACAAAACGTTGTCATACTTTTCTTTTAGAAAAATTAAAAAAAAAATTTCAAAAAATAATAATAATAAACAAAATAAATATAAATATTTACATTCATATGTGTAAGATATGGGTTTACATCAGGTGAAAATAGATTAAATATGTAGAAGTTATGGGTTTACATATTTGACATCTAATATTCATCCTTAATTTTATATATTCAATCATGTAGCATATTTTTTACACTGTTTTCTGGCCCACGGGCCTACAGTGCTTGATTTGGCCTTGGGCTTTTAAGTTCAACTTGGGCCAGTATCTGGGAAGGGTATTTATGTAATTACGGGTTCGAAATTCGAAAGGCGAGAGAGAAACTTGGGGGGAAGTGGGGTGGTGGGATGTAACCGCCTCCAACCGTCACTACTCTCTCTCCGACCAAAAAAACTGAAGACGAAGCTCTGTTTCTGCAGATTCTGATGAGGAAAATGAAAGCGAAGAAGGAGGAGATTAAGAAAGGCCCATGGAAGGCCGAGGAAGACGAGGTCCTCATCAACCATGTCAAGAAGTACGGCCCTCGTGACTGGAGCTCCATTCGATCCAAAGGTCTTCTTCTTCGGACAGGAAAATCCTGCCGTCTCCGTTGGGTCAACAAACTCCGTCCCAATTTGAAGAAGTACCCACCGTTTCCCTTTTCCGATTCTTCCTTCTCTCGGGTTCGATTCAAGTTTTGGGTTTTTTTTTTGGGATTTTCAGTGGATGCAAGTTCTCGGCGGAGGAAGAGAGGACGGTGATAGAGTTGCAGGCACAGTTCGGGAACAAGTGGGCGAGGATCGCTACGTATCTTCCCGGACGAACAGATAACGACGTTAAGAATTTCTGGAGCAGTAGACAGAAGAGGCTCGCCAGGATTCTCCATAATTCATCGGGCGAATCGAGTTCCAGACCTCACAAATTCAATAGCGCGAGATCTGGTGGTGATTCTGTCGGTTCTTCCGAGGTAAATTCATATCTAGAGCCCGTCTAATCTTTCTCTTCTCTTACCAGTTGTTATTTCATGTCTGGTGGATTCTTAGATTCCAGGTTTCGGCTTTGTCGGGCAAGAGATGTCGGCTTCATCGTCGAAGATTGTTCTTCCATGTTCATCCGCTTATTTAGACGCATCCCAACCAGTGGAAACATTGGCAATGCCGGATTTAGGCATTAAGCTTGAGACGCATCCGTTTGCTTTTGGGACAGATTTCGGATTGATGGAGACATCCTTATTCACCGAAACGCAGCAGTTGCCTCAGCCGCAATCAAGCATCCAATTCTCACCCGACAGCCAAGAACTCTTGTCCAGGATGGATGACCATTGTTTCTACGACATCCTCGGACCATGTGATTCAGCCGAACAATTCTCTCTTCCCCAGCCGTTCTTTGAGCCGCCGAGAAGCCGCCGACATGTTGGGAGGGATGAACCAGACGTCTTCTTGGATGATTTCCCTTCTGACATGTTTGATCAAGCTGATCCACTTCATAGTAATCCATTTGACTGATGGCGAGGTTTCTGGCATTGTAAACGATGTCTGTTTAGGCCTAATTAGCTCAGTTCTAACTGATTTGTCTCTGGATGTTCTTAGCAATAGATATGACTGCATTCCTCTGTGTTTTCCTTGTTGCTTGTGCTATATCTCTCGCTTACTGTAATTCACCCTCTGTTTTCTGTAGTGTGCAGATCAGATTCTGGTTTCTTTTCGATACAAATTTTCTACAAACTTGTCTGAAAGCAGTTCAAAAGTGTGTCGAAACGTGGAATTTTTCCAGAACAATGATCTTATTGATTGAATGTAAAGTGTGAAACCATGATCATTACGAAAGGAGTTCAAACACCAACAAGTACAGGAACATGAACTGAAAGAGACATTCTGACTAGACTGGAATTTGGCTTATGATATGGTCATGATGGTCTGTGGTGCTTGAGGGAATTCCAGCTTGACCATGACTGGTAATCACCTCAAATTTGCCGGCTTCAAGCGACCCATCTCCATTAGACACCCGTCTTCTCCACTCGAAATATGCACAGTAATCTGCTTCCTACAAAGTTACATCTCTGAGGAACGCTGAAAATACAGTTCCTCCCCTGCATTTTGCAAACATGATGGTGGATGGAGAAAAATATCAAATAGTTCATTCTAGAGTCCTTTGCTTCTACAGTGTTTCATGAAACATATCTTAGAAGAGGGCCAGTTGCAAAGCAACGACATGGGAGGGTTAAGTTCACAGAACAAAGCAGAACTAAGGTTGGAAGCGATTTCATCCGTTAAGACAAGTTAGATGGTCACCAGTTGATGGAGACAAGATACCCTATACAACCAAGTATGATGTGCTTCCACCAAGACATGTACCGGTTTTTCAGAAACATAGAGATAAACATACATGATGGTAGAAACTAGGAAGATACCGAACGAGAACTGAGAAACAGTACTCACCATTGGTGACTAGCTGCAAGTTCTCATAAGGGTATTTATCTGCAAGAGCCTTGACGATGTTCACATGTCTTCTTCAACCCTCCATTGTCACTTCCCATTTCGGCAGCTAACCAGAGAAGGCAAGAGGTAGAAATGAATCAAGTTCATACTCAGGATGCTCCTAAAGAAAGTCTTAAACATCTAAATTTCACCTCTTTGCAGACCCGATCCACCGTCCAATCGGGAAACATGGCTTCAAGATCTGAAAAGTTGAACCCAAAACAGCTAGAAACGTGCTTTCCTTGGAAGTAAGCTTCGAGAAGGGTTGTCTAACATTACCTCCATTCATTGCACACCACTCGGTGGAGTTTGTACGGAGGAATCTGATGGCGAGCATCGCCGTTACCCATCGACATCATACGTATGCGACTACGTCCAGTTCTTAAATTTCCTCAGTCGACGTCGACTTGCTCACCGAGAAAGGTACATGGACAATACCCTTTTCTTTCTATGCCGAATACATTGGAGACATACAATATATTTTTAATCTAAAATCAACAAATTTGCCGTAAATTTAGACAGTTAATGACAATTTATGGTTTATTTGGATAGCAATATAAAGAACCATAAACTATGTGGACATTCTCTCGATCAAATGACACACTGATATATGATGTGTGTATAAATGAGAGGGAGTGATACACAACACGTTGAGGGACACTCGCTTGAACAATCTCTGCTTTGTTTAATGACAATTTATGGTTTATTTGGATAGCAATATAAAGAACCATAAACTATGTGGACATTCTCTCGATCAAATGACACACTGATATATGATGTGTGTACAAATGAAAGGGAGTGATACACAACACGTTGAGGGACACTCGCTCAGTGGCTGATATGGTGAACAATCTCTGCTTTGGGTTCTGGAAGGGAAACTCCCGCTATTACGATATAACCGTATCGTTCAATTGTCATTACAAAAGCTCGTACAACAGGACATGTGGAAAGGGACGGCCACGCTGTCATTCTCCTCCTCTTCACTCTCATCCAGACCATTCAGATTTGGAATCAGACAAGTATTTTGGTGTTTATATATGCTATTAAATATATGAAATTTATCTTAAATATGTAGAAGTTATGGGGAAAGTTGTGAAGGGTTTTATTAGGGTTTAATGTTGATGTTAATCATCTGATGCAAACCAATGTAAGAGAAGCTGTCATGCCTCTCCCAGGGCTTTCTTGATATCTTTCTGTTTGCAAAAAAAAAAAAACCAACAGCTACATATGACCACAATGCTCTCATATACATATTGAAGATTAGATAATATGATGAGAGAGAGAGAGAGAACCTCGATTGATAAGGGGGAAGTGGTCGGTCCGTAACGAGCAATGACACGGCCATCTTTTCCGACCAAGAACTTTGTGAAATTCCATTTGATTCTGGAGCCACATAGTCCTGGCTTACTTGCCTTGAGGAATTTGTACACAGGTGCCGTTTTCTCACCATTTACTCGCACCTACAGATTCTCTAAGACAGTTTAGTGATGCCCAAGAAAATCAAAAAAAGAGAATATGTTAATTTTTCCAACAGAGAAAGGGGAGATCTACCTACCTAGCCAGCTAGCTGGTTTTGTCCAAACAATCAACGAAATTATTGACAAAGTTCCCACACATATTTGTTTTCTGATATCATAGTCGTAGGTTACAGCTATTTACGTTCCAAGTTAATATCAGGACATTGCAGAACATGCAAGGATTCTACACTACAAAGTGACTTTACATTCTCTAAACAGCTTTCATGGCTGTGGTTCCAATAACAATCATAGATCAGTATAAAACATAGAAGCCCACAAAATGAACCTCACCCCCGAACATTCTGATCTAAAGCAAACTGCAACCACAAGTTCAATTTATGGAAAATAAACAAATTTAAGTTTGTCCCATAAGATACAACCTCATCTCAACTAACCACAAGCATAAGTTCAATCGTTAAACGGCAAAGAGAAAAACTTTAAGTATTGTTTTGATAGAACAGAAGGGCAGACTTGGCTCAATGGTAAAAACATTTATCGTGGGGTCTGAGGTCGCGGGCTCGAATCCATCTCTCTACATTAAAAATGTAGGGGTAAGGTGGCCTAGCATATTCCCTTCCCAACACACCCACTAGATGGGATACGAACTGGATTGGTCCTTTATTGTTTTGATAGAACAGAGATGATTGTAGCACAAACAAAGTCCTCACCTTTTGGAAAACAGGGTATTCGGCCTTGAACCTTGTACAAGCAAATTGATGAGCATCTTGACTTGTCCCTGGCTCTTGGTTCATAAACTGGTTGCATGGAAACGCCAATACCACAAACCCTGAGAATAGATATTTAGGAGACGACAACCGACTCTCATCTTATAAATGTATAATCGAAACCAACCAACAGATAAAGAAACCTTATATGAATAACGTATAGTAGGGGTTGCGAAACACAAAACTCTCAAGGGAACAAAAAGAGGAGGAGGGAAGAGACCTCTGTCCTTGTATCTGCAGTAGAGTTGGGTGAGCTGTGTATAATTGGATTCGGTGAAACCGCTGTTTTTATCAATCGCAAACCACACCATATAGATTAACCACTCTACTAATCCCATAACCTACATAGGAGAAATAAAAACAAGAGAATGAATCTCGATAGGAAGAAAGGAGACGGACCATTTGGAAGCGACATTGACGACGAGAAGGACCTTCCCTTGATAATTACTCAGGCCGAAGTCCTTGCCGGAGCTGTCCTGATTTCCCAAAACCATCCCAAATTCAGAGAAGAAATAATCTTTTCCAGCCAAATTTCGACATACAACAAAAGATAATGAAGCGATCCACCTTGACGGTGAATTGATGAATGGATCTCTCGGAAACCGATGAAGAAGAAGTAGCACCCATCACGCCGGAGCTCTCTCTCCCTCTGCGTTTCTGGAACGACGAAGCAACGCAGAGAAAACCCAAGGAGAGGGATTTCAAAAGTTTCTAAATTTTGGGGATGCTCTCAAATAGAAGACGAAAGAAGCGTCGACGTTGACGCCCTTCGCTTCTGATTTGTTTTTTTAATCTAACTCATTATTCCTCCCACCCACAACACCACTCCTTCAATTAGCTGCAAAAATCATTTTAAAAAAAAATTTGGAGATTTCTTTGGCACAAAAGATGCATCTATAATTGAGAAATGAGTTGGACCGTTGAATAATAACATGACTAGCAAACTAATAAGAGTCATATATATCCACATTTCTTTCAATAGGACCAACGGACGCAGACACGAATGAGGAAAGACTGGAGTGGAGCAACTCCAGGCGCCGTTATTCTATTCTATGGGATTTGAATTCACATAAATATTCCTAATTTTATCCCCTAGAAGAAACTCATCACAGACAACAAAGTATTTCACCAAAACAAAGCAATAAATATATTCAGAGGATGGAGTGGAAGCCCGAAAGGAAGAGCCTCAGTAGTATTTGTAGGTACAAACTCCTCCCACTCTCTCTCTCTCTCTCTCTCTCTCTCTCTCTCTGCCACATTACGACCCACCTCAACCCCAAAAAAGAAAAGAAAAGAAAGATTCTCGTCCTCACCTCTGATGCCACATGCCTTGATCTGCAAAGCCACCAGATAACACAAGGATTACTCAGTTTGAAACAAACCCCTCTCATGCCATGCAAACCCAGTAGGACTTCTCCTACCTCTCATCCCAACTGGAACAGGACCCTCCGAATGTGTTTTGTAGTGAAACGAGCGTCTGTTATTGTAGGGACGCGGAGGATAATTCCACCTATGGTTCTGGAACCTTCCAGAGCCACCGTATTCACCTGGAGGGTAAGGGCCTTTGTGTCTGTCGTGATACCTCGGACCTGCATGACCATAACAGTATCATATCATACTTCCCATTCTGCATCACTTTTGAGAAAGTAAAGTAGCCATAGAAACCCTTCACATGCACTTGGGGACTCACCATAAGAAGAAGGTGGTTGATATCTCCAACTGTCCCTGTTGTTGCCTGGTGCCGGTCTCGTTCTCTCATGGTTATCATGAAAATTCCTTTCGTCAGAACTTGGCATATAATGAGATCTGTGATAGTATGGAGGACCATCTCTTCGAGACTTCAAACGGTGGCCTGGCTGCGTATACGAGTATTGATGTGGAGGCGGAGGTGGTGGTGGAGGATGATGAGGAGGAAAAGGCCTATGCTGGAATTCAGAAGCCTCGCCCTGTGGCATGCCAGTTGTTGGTGGTATACCTGAACTACTATAAGATGACTCAGGTCCTTGAAAATGCATAGTACTTGCAGGAATTGGTGGGTTCATCCTTGGAGGAGCAGCCTGATGATCTCCCTTCACATTTACCAACAAGAATTGAATTAGCAGCTATGTAAAAAAAATTATAATTATGTTTATCAGGAACGTCTGTGAGCAACAAAATGAACGTACATGCATGCCAGGATAACCACCACAATCGAAGCCATTCGAGTAGGAATCAGACAAGAGGCACTGAGCATGGAGCGAAGGGGGAGGTGGAGATGATGAGGTCACATGTTGGTGTGAAGCCCCAGAGATGGACTGAAGCTGCGGTTCAATCTGAGTATTGGAAGACTCTGCAGTATCAGCTTGAACAGTGTATGTGCTTCTCCCAGCTTCCCAAGACGGAGCCACATCTTCCATCTCAAGCTCGCCATCAACATCTTCCAATACACGTGTATGCCTTTCAGCTGTGGAAGCTGTGACAAGTTTTTCAGGGATTCCGGAATCGTGCTCTGGGGTGACAGCCTCAAAATCTTCTCCATCAGAATCACTTCCTTCGTCCTCCTCATCCTTTAGCATGGCAGGCATGCAAAACCCCGGAAGCTGGAGCTTTGAATTACTGGCACAAGAAGTAGTATGTTAATCAAATAACAACATAGACAAGGAACCAACACGTGGAAGATTCAAAGAATCCAAAATCCTACCTTCCATATTCATCCACCAACATACCATCCATATCTCTCACAGGATCGTCCAATGCTCTTTCTGTCCGAGCTGAGCGACGCGAGTAGAGGCAAGCAGGAGCAATATCATGCAAATCAAGTTCTCTTATATGGTGGCGGATAACAGAATCGGGAAGGATCCGTCTCTCAAGCCAAAGCTTCATAACCTATAAATAGCAGAAAGGGTGACAAGAAAGATCAATAAGAAAACCTGTATGTGTTCTCAAGTTTTTATTACATACCTTTATGCACTGCCTCCGGTTTTCTTGTGTGGTGGCTCCAGCAGGGACAGCTGCAGCCAATAAACGAGGCAGCATACCTTGAATGGCTGAAAGATAAACACCACCAACATCACCTGACAATACAAGGAACCACACTTGGTCATTTTCAACCCCGAGAACAACACTGATGTGGCTTAGCAAAATGTAAGCCTATCGACTTACCTTTCAGGCCTTTAGAGCACTGAGCAATAGAATCAACAAGGAAAAACAAGTCCACCCTCCTTTGTAAATTTGACTCACTTTCCAAAGTATGAGCCAAGACTTCCATCACCTAGTTTGAGCAACAGATGCAAAAAACTCATCATACAGCAGAAGAAAATTAAGAAAAAACAACTGCAAACAAATAATTTCATAAGTCATGCTAAAGCACAGACAAAGGGAAAGTTCATACCTTTGCAGAGACACCAAATCTCACCAAGTCCATCGCCAATCGAGTTGCTCGCCCAATGCTCTCCTTTGTTCTGACCAACGAACCAAGAGCACTCTCAAATGATTCAAGGGTGGATTGCATATCAGAACTGACAACTTTGTGTCCCTGAGTTGTTCCTGTTTCAATCTTCTCTCCTTCATTGACACTAGGATCTCCCAAAATTTTCTTCTCACTGGAATGAACATTGGAACTACAACTCCCATTGTTCTGCATAACATTTGCACTTTCTGCAGTTGAGATGTGGCAAACTGAGTTGCTATGTGGAGTGCCCCTCACAGGGGATTCTGCAATATTAGCAGGAGATAGACTCATTCTTTCACCTGAACGGTTTTCAGACAATGAAACAGAATGGGCGGTCTGGATCTGTTCCTTCCTTTCTTTTTCAGTCTCACAGCTGCAATTGCAAATGATCACACTCTATTGTTAGTCTCAATCAGTTATATGGCGTGGCAGAAGTTTGGGTTAACTTTAGAGCTAGCCTGAATATAATTCATAAACCTTCTGCCCAAAACTCAATAACACATCCTTTAAATAAACTTGAAAATGTAAAAGCAAACCCCTACAGGAAATGGAAAAGGTAGAAAGAATAATCCTAGAAAGGAAGAAACTACTAGAGACACGATTTGAAACTAAATGTAACTGTAAGAGAGAAAATAATTATGCCCTACATGTACCGAAAAATAAAATACTTCCCCATGTTTATAAAATTATGAAATTGAAGCGTATATGTTAACTTTAAAAGTTGCCCTAGATCTGTAAGAAGAGAAACATTTCACGGAAAAATAAAACAGCAGGGAAATAGAAACAGACAGAGAAATAACATGTACAGATACTCACAGTTTTTCCGGTTGCCTGTGATTCGCAACAGCATCCTCAAACCCTGTTTCATATGGAGGTTCGGCTTCTTCAACTGACATATCACTCTCACTTCTAGAAAGGACCTGATTCTGACTGGTGAGAGTTTGATTGACAATACCAAGTTCTTTAGTTGGACTTTTATGCTCCTCCTTCAATGGAGTTTTCTCAGCCTCTTGTTTATCCACCATTAGACAGGATGATGGAGAATGATGAACAGTTTCAGATTGAACATGGACCATGCGATCATCATTTTTATCACTTTTATCATTAGGAGAATATCCAGAACCGAATAGTGAATGGCCGCAACTTTGCCGCTGGTCAGCAGAATGAGAAGGCAACCCAGATCCTGTTGTATCCAAATGAGAGTAACATCCATACTTCACCATAGATGAAGCCACAGTATCGGTCTCAAAAGGAGCGTCGATTTTATCATTGTGATGAAAGTTTTGCACAACAGGATGATCAGACTCACAGCTTTGCAAAGTCACGATTCCTGAACTATACCAGCAGCACTGGCTGTCAGAGCTTCACCATCCGGCAAACTGCTAAATTGCTTAGATTGCATTTGGGCTGTTTTATAGTCTGGTGACTTGCTAGTCTCGCTCCACCTGAACTTCAAAGCAGTTTCTTTCTCGCCAACAATCTGTTCGCAAGACTTAGAAGAAGGAGACATACTTTCAGAAGGTTTCTTCTCAGAAGATGGTACTACATCAGCAGTATCACCTGAGAGTTTAGCAGACACTTCATGACTAGAAACATCATTGCCCTGATTTAATGATGGGCTTGTCTGCACTGTTGCTTCGACTCCTGTATCCTTAGGTGATCTTACTTCAACCTGCGAAGAGCCATTGGCCTCGTCATTAGCATAAAATATTCTGCTCATCCTGACTCTAGCTCGTTTCACCAGTGGCAAATGCTCGTCACCATTTTCTTCTGATGGTCTCTCATTTAAACTTTCACCTGAATTCTGTGATGTCTGGCAGTCATTAGATCCTCCTTGCCCCTCTTCCCTCATGTCCTTGTCACTCTTTCCACGCTTTCTGGTTGGCCTCCTCTTCTTCCTCACAACCATAGTATTAACTTGAAAATCAAGCCCTTTGCTGACTTCATGATCTCCTTCATGACACGGACCACCAACATCAGAATGTTCAACTTTGGGACTTGAATCTACACCATTGCTTTCATTCCTAATATTATTACCAGATTCAACTGTAGCAATTTCAGAAGCATTTTCTTCATCACTTCCATTTGAATTTAAAGCTGATAAATCAACATCATCTGATTCAGAATGACCGAATGATCTCCTGATCCGATTTCTCCTTCTTAAACCTCCATCATCCATGTCATCGACACTTTGACCATTATCTTTATATTGCAACGAGTCTTGACGCCGATCCAACTCCAACCTTGATGAACTTTTAGAGCACTGAAGAGACAGCACCTTTTTCTGTTGAGTGCACTTTTGATACCGTGCCCTTCCATTTCTTTTCCTCGAAGAATAGGTAGCTATCTTAGGTGGTTCTTTATCTGTACTATCACAGGTCTGCTCACAGGCTAAACTGTTATCACGCAGGGCTAGTATTTGTTCAGCAGCCGAAGCATCTTCACTGAGCAGCGTCGATTCATCTCTACCTTGACTAGAATCTGACTTTAATTGTGTTTCAAGACTTGCTCCAGTCAGATTTTCACTGACTTGCGAAGGTTCTACAGTATTCCCACCACTTGCAAGAGTCACTTCTCCAGTAGCTTTTTTATCATTAGGTAGCTCCTGCTGCTTCAGCTTCTCATAACTTTCTATAATCTCCTTTACAGCACGAACAAAATCTGAACCTTTAGCATGGCGTTTCGTCAAAATTGATTGTTTCTTCTCCTCAGTAAATGCTTCGACATCGGCAGGATTGCAGAAAGCTCTGCACATAAAACATCCTCAAAAATAAACAAAATTTACCAACTCTGTCCGCTTGCACAAAGAATAAATTAACTGACAAGAAACAAAGAATAAATTAACTGACAAGAAACATATATTGCCAACTATCTAGACACCAAGAAGTTTCACTTCTCCAGTAGCTTTTTGATCATTAGTGTGGTTCTACTGAAATATATGTATCTTATATTTAGGATTTTTTGCAACCATAAAAGGTTCATTATCACCACTGTAATCTCCTCCACAGGAGCAATTATCTATAGTTGCAGGGGTACGCGATGCCTACATTCCTCTCTTCATTGCAAACTTTGTCTTTCTAAGCTGTCGGGTCTTTTATTTTTAACCCACAACAATATTGTAGTGCAACACTTAAAAGAGCATTTTAAAGCAGGTTAAGTTTGGAACTTTGATAGCAATGAAACAAATTCAGGTAAACTTAGTTTCGGCTAACCAAGAAAATTACAAGTCAACTAAGTGATATCCACCGCAGTGTTCAATCCTCACCCATAACAACATACACATGCATTGCACTATTATGGCCAAAAGTAACCGCTGATCCACAACCTAATGAAGTGAGGGACTTTATTCACTCTTGAAATAACTCCTGATCCATAACACTAAAAGGACAAGCTCCGACATAAAAGTAAAATTACTACACCCAAAAGATGAAACGACAAATTCTAGAGACAAAAGCCAAAAGTGACCGAAGGGACAAAGTACGGGTAAAGGATGACTTGCAGCATCAATCCAATCTTGCAACAGTATATGACATAGAACAGAATGTTTTCCGTTACATCATACATGACTTCTGCACTTTAATAAAAGGAAAAAAAATGGAGGGATTCTAATCATGCACTTTAAAGGGGAATTCGCAGTATCCGAAGCAGACCCCAGGGATCGCTTCATACATATGCTACTTGGAAAAAAAAAATCGATGCTACCATCCCTGAATTTGTAAAACCTAAGAAACAGTTTGTTGCTTACAACCTTATCAATACGTTTTTCAACAGCATCATCTCCAGAATTTTGTCAAATACACAGGCAAAGGGCAATCATTCACCTTTTGCAAGTCACTACAGTTGCTTCTGATCATGTGAGGTGTACCAAGGCAAAATCAAAGGGTGAACAAACATTAACAACTAGAACATACATAGAAATCTGCATCCAGGCAGGATGGCGATGTAGCGAGGATACAACATTGACAAGCACATCGTACCTTAACAAAATAAGCTAACATTCTATCACCATCAATAAGACTACTTGTATTTCCGACTTAATCTCACAAGACAGGAGAATGCAACTAATCTACTATTTATCTGCATAATCTCCTAAGCCAGGGAAAGAAAAAGGAATTTCTCAAACTAAGTAGCCATAACATGACAAACTAAACATTCAGAGCATCGCTCTTAGCAACCAACAAGCATACTACAGCCAGGAAGGAAAACGGTAAACAAGAGGGGGGAGGTTAAGGCATAATAACTCACATCTGCTGAGTTCCGAAAAAGTAAACCAATACTTTCTTCCAATCGGCTGAATAGCCCCACTTTTCTGGCTCGCTAACCTGCAATTACATCCATTGATAAGCAGACAGGCGATAGGAGAACACAACATGGGCAGATCTTAAGCAATCATCACAAGTTTTTATAGGGAAATCTGACGCAACTTAAACTGAAATCAAGATCGATTCACTGTAGTTTGCACATAAAAAGTGCCAGACTGCATCTCATACTTACTAATCGGTGTTCTTGTATCTAATAACAACCACAAAAGCATGCCAAGTTCTCCTGAAAATAGATATTACATATTAAACAGACTAGAACAAAACAACCCCTAAATTAATAATCAGCATACAGATCCAACACAAATATCGCGATCTAATACATGGATTAAGCAGATTGAAACCCTAAAGAAATAGCTTTGCGTGACACCCATCTGGCAAAACTACGAAACTTGAACGGTTCAATTCATGCAGAAGCAAAAGCAGATACCCAGGCAACAGGAGAAAAGAAATAACAGAACAAAAAACGAAAGGAAGACAAGGATGTCCATACCGTAGCAGGCCAGGCAGGAAATCCTTTGACCCGCCGCCCTTCCACTGTCGTCGAGCGGCTGCGGCGGCGGCAGCCTTCCCGGCAGATTTCCTGCGGCTCGGCGCCATCGGAACGAAGGAATAGCAGAAAAGAAAAAGAATCGATCTCAACTCTCGAAGTTAAGCAAGAACCGCAAGGGAGATGAAGCAGCTTCGCAGTGTCTAGTCTTCGGCGCCAGGTTCCACGGATGAAGTCGCAGACATTGAAAACCCCAACCCAATCGAAGGAAGTGAGCGAGCGAGACACTGGAGGAGTGGCCCCCTAAACCCTAATCGGATGGGGGGTGAAGATTTTGCTGTGGATTGTTTTGCCTTTGTGGAAGAAGGCCATTCACACGCGAACCCCCATGACAAAAGAGGGCCAAAAAACGGCTGATAGTGTTGAATGAATGGTTCGGCGAAGGGATAAAGAGAGGACGCTAACATGCGCCGTGGATGCGTAGGTTAAGTGACCTTAAGTTTATTTCATCCTTTATTTAAAAAAAAAAATCCAATTTGCAGGGCGTTCGTTAAGAGTGAATCTGTTCGTATTTAGATAAGTACCATTAACAAACAAACGTGACACGCCCACCAGCTCGTCTCAGTTTAGATTAGATGGTGGGCCCATACTTAGCCCATTAGTGGCCCAATTGAGATGATAAGGAGACTTAATTTTGGGCTTTGTAGAACTACCAGGGCTCTTTTCCCTGTTCCAAATAACCGAATGGCTGAAGTCCGGTCGGTGGAAGTGGAAACCTTCTTCTTTAGTCATTTTAAACGTTTTTAAATGCATCTCAAAAGATACCCATTATTAGGGCTCGACCGTAACAAAAAAACGAGATTTTTTCCGATCCGAAACCGTTCTTAGTTCCTGAACGGTATCATTTTTAGAGAACCGAATTTTTCCGAAACCGAACCGAACTTTAAAAATCCTGAAAAACCGAATCGGTTTTACAAAAATAAGTACCAATCGGTTTTTATATTGTATTCGGTTCGGTTCGGTTTCGGTATCGGTTCGGTTCAGTTCCGGGTTTTATTAAAAAAAAAGATAGATTTTCTTTAAAAATATTCGGGGATCGATTCGGGCTTGACGAAGATACGAGCGGTGTTCGGTTTTGGTGGGAGAAGGTTGACTGAGACACGCAGGGGGATGACGGACATTTCGCGTTATGGTGTCGGAGTTGGCAATGAAAAGATTTCGGTCCTTTATGCAACCGCTTTGATCATATTATAAGTTTATATATAATATATTCATAAGTTCAACGCGCTTTGGTCGGATCCGTTTCCCTTTTTGACTCGCTCGCCCACAGTTTTCAAAGTCATGTATTTTACCTAATCCTTTAATACTTTTCAAGATACTGAATTTTCAAAATTATTTTTTTGTTGAATAAAAATATTAGATTCACGATACGATTTCTGTTGTTCGGGATTTTACCTTATCTTCACTAAAATACGTATTAGAATTTACCAAGATATAAGATTATTTGATAACCGTTTTCGAACGGAGAAGAATATTAAGAAGAAGAAAAAAGAATCATAATGGGTAGGGGTGGGCGTTCGGGAAACGGTTTGGATTCGGGACGGGAATGGATCGGTTCGGTTCTTTCGGTTTTACAAAAATAAGTACCAATCGGTTTTTATATTGTATTCGGTTCGGTTCGGTTTCGGTATCGGTTCGGTTCAGTTCCGGGTTTTATTAAAAAAAAAGATAGATTTTCTTTAAAAATATTCGGTTTTTCAGGATTTTTAAAGTTCGGTTCGGTTTCGGAAAAATTCGGTTCTCTAAAAATGATACCGTTCAGGAACTAAGAACGGTTTCGGATCGGAAAAAATCTCGTTTTTTTGTTACGGTCGAGCCCTAAGGTCTTGGAATCGGAGAAGAAGAAACTGAAGGCCAAACTCGGAGGAGAGATCTTGTCGGAGGAACAGATGCTTTCGGTCCAGACAATGTGCGAAGAGATTGTCGGCCAATTCTTCGAAGCTCCGACGGAGTACTTGAGAAGCGGAGGATGCTGCCATTCGAAATTCGGTGATAGGGTCAGCGATTTGGAACTTTTGGCCGATATTCTTGAAGAAACGTGTCTCTTCAAACCCTAGTTTTTTGTTTTTGTTTTTTTTATCCATCCATATTATTGATTGATTCTTTTTGTTCCCAATACACAAATTTATTGGAAATCCTTGAAAATTATGGGCCCAACTATATTAATTAATGGAAATGATTGTTTACAACAAGATCTACTTATACGTATTGTCGTATTCTTTTACCGATTCCACCGTATCTTCTACGATAAAGCCGACGTGTTCGAGATATTTTATACAATTTATTATTTAAAATTCGAAGCATCGATTTCCGATAAAAGCGGGACGGACCGTTAAAAAAAATCGCACTCGTCATAAGATTACTTCGTATTTGTTCCCCAGCTGCCACGTTTCTTAGCCACAAAACAAAACGCGGTCGCCCGATGTCGTGGTCTTCCCCACAGCTCGACACGTGTCTCAGATATTTTGGTTCCCTGACAAACGACCTTTTGGATTCGCGTCTGCGATCCGACACGTGGCTCTTCTATCTCCGGTTTTTCGCACCAACCAAGACGCTTAGTTATTCTCTACTCTGACGTCTACACGAATCTCTGATGGACACGCGTCCCTCACAACCAATAGGAAGGCTCCACATTTAATGGATCACAAAACAGACACTGGATAGCCCGATGACTCGTGCCAACTCATATATTAGATCCTCGCCTGGGCGTGTTGAGTGTCGCGACCATCAAGAAACGCTTGCCGTAGTCAAGATGAACGAGAAAAGACGGATCAGATCGAACCATTGTCAACTGAGCCAATGGACCAACTCGGGCGAGTCGGGGATAGAGAACGAGCGAGTTCTGGCACTCGTCTTCGAGTCCATGAAATGGGACATCCACACGCTCTGCGCCACCGCCTCTGTCAACCGCAAGCTCCAAGCCATAGCCAGGCGGCTTCTATGGAGGATGCTCTGCGTGCACCGAGCGCCGAGGATGGCAGCAACATTGTCAAGCACCGACCCCAACAGCCGAATCGACGACGGATGGCAGTCGCTCGCCAAGCTCATGTTCTTCTGCTGCGGGAGCGACTCGACTCGGCATTTCGAGCTGAGTCAACCATCGCCGGGTCACTTTATGAATGAGTCCCGGTTTTCGAAGACCTCCGGGCGGAGCTTCCTGGCTAAGAAGTGCCAGGGAGATGTACTGTACGTGAGCGATCCGTGTGAGCACAGGACAGGGGAGGGAGAGGACGACCTTGGGATTTTCAGAGGGGTATTCAGGGGATTCATGAGGTCGAAGACGAGGGAGTGTCTGGTGCGAAGGCAGACTAAACTGGAGGAGAAGGTGAGGTGCCCGTACTGCGGGGCCCGCGTGTGGAGTATGACGGCGGCTCATCTCGTTCCCAGAAGCGCTGCCCGACGGTTGGGATCTCGTGACGGAGGGATTGAATTCTTTGTGTGCGTCAACGGCCACTTGTACGGCACTTGCTGGCTCGTTCCGCTCTCCTCCGACGAAGACCGGCGAGGGTTCAACCATGATGAGGAAGAAGACGATTTTTGACTAAACAGAGTTTGTATTTGGTAGATTTGATTGTACAGACCGGGTCTAGGTCTGGTCTAGCCATTCATGTACGACCACGAGAAATAAGAGCATGTATGCATAGACAGTGAGTGTTCATCTTTTTTTTTTTTTACCAAGTCAAGTGAATGGCCAAGTCAAGTATGGACTCGACCTGGCGAATGGTTCGGAGCTTCTCCTGCTGCTTCAACTTCTGTGCTATAGATTCTGCATCTAACCCTCCTTTGCTGTTGTTAGCCTCTTCCTGCTCTGGCCTCACTTCTTGTAGCAATGCATCGACCTCTCTCACAAAGTCTACTCTTAGCAATACGTTCTCTTCTTCCATTGGCGGTCGCAGCGGCCCCTCATGCTGCAATATAGCCATGAATATGGGGACTATGACTCTTAAACAAAACATGTGATTCTTTCTTTTGCAAGTATGGACCGGTAATAGATGGAAGTACAGAGTAAGTATGTACCACATCGATGTCGAATCCTGCTGGCACAAGAATGCTGTAAGGGTCTTCACGTGGGAACGTATCGGCCATGCGTTTTCTGCACTCTTTCAGCCAAGCCTCCTCGTCAAAGCCATCATACATGTTTAGTAGATCATTGAGAAGTCTCATCGCAGGACTGGCCTCCCGCTTCAAGATCTCTGTCTGGATTGCAGAAGATAAAGACACGGACTATAAGTAACAAGTCACAAATGATTATGGAGTCCGCTTGTACTTAACCGACCATATGGCTTGAGCATTTTTCCCCTCCAATGCATCATTTTCTAACCATATTTTAAGAGGGTCGCTATATATATATATATATATATGATATTGCCACTAGAGAAAACACAAACGTGCATCTAATATTGTTCCCAAGAGACGATCATCAATTAGCTCAAAAGCTTCTGTATCATACTATCAAGATTCAAGATTTACACTCACCTCGACTCTTCTATACAGAAGATCAAGACTTCGAATCGCATCCTTCTCATCCTGAAAGTTAGCAACAAAACAGTGATGGTGACAATACCGACAGTATGAGGCTACCGAGCTTCCAAAACCAGAACAGGATCTATCTGCCGGTGTTTGGTTCTGTGAAATTGCAAATACAGAAGGGAAAAAAAATCTTACATCGCGTCGAGCAAGATCCAGGCGGTTCCAGATGATCATTAGAACAAGCTCATCAAGCTCCCCCTTTTCAGCAGCTTCTTCGATTCTCTGCGAAACAATGGCCAATCAGGAACACCATATATCAACTTCTTGCGTGATTTTGATCAGAGAGGGTTTTCTTACCTCTTCGACTTCCTCGGCAGCCCTGATGAAGCTCGAAACGAGCTTTCTTGCTTTCCTCAATTCTTCCTCAGGAAAATCTTTCAACCTCATCCCGATTTCCCTATACTCTTCAACCTTCCTCTCCTCTTCCTCTTCTTCCTCCCGCTGTCTCCGCCTCAGTTCCTTCGTCTTCTCTCTCTGTCGAGCTTGCCATTCCTACAAAATTCACAAAGTCGCTTGAATTTCACCGCGACAACTACCATGGGAACTCGGTCATATAAGAGCAAGGAGGAGATTAATGACGAACATCATCGTAGTACTCAGGCGGCATCCCTTCTAGAAGAACTTCTTGCTCTTCCTCTTTAACCGAGCATCTTCTCAGGACTGTAACTCACAAATCATAGCATCCGAAGACAAAAAAAAAATCCCAAAACTCTCAGACAAAACCTCTCTGTTACTAACAAACCAAGACAACTTCACCGACCAACGCTGGAAACTGACCTGTCATACACGAGGGCTTTGGGTTCACGCGCACACTAACGGGTAGAGGCCGAGGTCGGAGCAGAGGAGATGCGCACATTAGCGCAAGCGGCGTCGCCTCCATCGATGAGCTTCGGACAAGATAGTTACGAGACTCTCAAATCAAAACGACCGTACACTAGCTTGAGCCTTTTATGTTTGGGCACACCTCTATTCTTTCGGAAATAACTCGAGGGACCCTCTAGTTTTCTTTCATCACATTTCCTTCCTAAGATTTCCTTATTTTACACTTTAATCCAATATATACAACAACATATAAACAAGACAAGTGGCCTAATCACGAAAATATACAAACAACACAATGGAAGTGGCCCGCCCAATAAAATTTTGGCTTGGGCAAAAAATTTAAGCTGCAGTATTTCAAATTAGGACTAAACACAGAATAATTCTACAAATTCCATTTTCACAAGCAAAAGGAAGCATTACATGATGGAGCAGGATTGAGCATGTTGGTCGCTGAAATAGTGAAAGAGAGAGTCGCCAGACGGGAACTCCTTCTCCGAGTAGAAGTCGAAGGGGTAAGGAGCCGGCTGTTTCCTCGCCGCCACCACCGGCTGCTCGTATGCGGGCGGCCCCACCTGTGGAGGCAGCCTGAACATCGGCATCGGCGGCGGCGGAGGATGCCCTAATATTCGGGGGTTCATGCCGAACCTTCTCTGGCCAAGTGTTTCACCGACGCGGCAGGAGGAGGAGGCGGCGGAGGAAGAGTGTTCGTCGCGGTCGTCGGCGTCGGCGTCGGCGTAACGCTTGAGTAAGGCGCGTAATCGGAGCTTGGCCTTAGATGGGTCCTTCTCATAGGCGTAAAGCTCTGGACTTTTTCCGATTTCTTCGACGGCTTTGATGAGAACCCGAGGCTCTGCGGTGCCGGAGACCAATACAATACCTTCCTTCGGATCTATGGTTATGGCGTAAACTCCTGTGCATATACCCACAAACCAGATCAGAAACTGTGGCAGTAATGAAAATTTCGGAAGATGAAAAAGGCGGAGAATATATACCGTACCCGTTACTTTCTGGAGGAGTTTCTTGACCCGCAACGGGCAGTCCCGACAGCACTGCAGATTCATTTTAAGTATACAAATCTGCGCTCATGGAATCGTAAACAAATATGATTTGGGTTAGATTCTTGTGGCATCCTTACGCGAACAGAAGGAAGATCAGTAGAGATTTAAGGGAAAACGTATACAGATGGGCGTGTGAAACTGAAAGGAATTGGATTGAAACAGCAAATCTGGTCGTACCGGAAAGTCCAAGTCCTCCATTGTCACTTTCTCGATCCGCCGGAAACTGTGTTCTTCCTTTCTAAGAGAAGGGTTGATCTGTGAATCTCTTTTTTGAAAAGATGTTACTTTGACCATACCCGATGAAAAATATCACAGAAAATCTGCAAGATTTGGAAACAAAATATGTTACCTGGATTTCATATATATATATATGTTACCTGAAAATACGCACAAAATATCGAAACGATTATTAATGCAACATTATGCTTCAAGTTTAGAAAGATAATTCCACAAAAGATTTTGGTGTTTGTAAATGACGCAAGAGCATAGGGAACGAAGAAGAGATGGATATAGATTTTTGGGTCAAAAGTAGAGTTGATTTCAACTCTTTTTTCCCGTCTTTCTTATTAGCGCTTTGGTTACATATAAAAAACAAAGAAAAGGAGTTCAGAGAAATATATACAAGGCCGGAGAAAATCAGGGAGATGTATCGCTTCAACATCATCCTTGATTGCCCGTCTTCAAGAATCTCAAGATAATGTGAAGATCTTGGTGCCATTTCGGTTATTAACCGAATAATTATACCGAACCGAACAAGATATAACCTATTATTCGTTTGGTAAAAAAAACTTATTACTAGGACCTCAAGAAGCTGTAAAAATAGAAAGAATATATATGTGCATTGTGCATATCGTCAATTCAGGAGATAAAAGGGAAATCTGTGCATGTGTGTAAAGAAAACAGAAAAAAATTTAGATTTCTTATTTCCACATATAGTGTCAGACCATTGTTTATTGAAAGAAAGAACGGATTAAGTTTGATTTTGGAGATTCTCTTAAATGTTTTAGATTATTATTATCTTATTATTTTTTATTGTAGTTATGGAGGTTGTGAATTCATTCGGTAGGAGTTGAGCTGTGTTATGTTGCGCCAGGGATGGATAGAATAGAGTCATTTGAAAACATGGGTCTTACTAGGACCTCAAGAAGCTGTAAAAATAGAAAGAATATATATGTGCATTGTGCATATCGTCAATTCAGGAGATAAAAGGGAAATCTGTGCATGTGTGTAAAGAAAACAGAAAAAAATTTAGATTTCTTATTTCCACATATAGTGTCAGACCATTGTTTATTGAAAGAAAGAACGGATTAAGTTTGATTTTGGAGATTCTCTTAAATGTTTTAGATTATTATTATCTTATTATTTTTTATTGTAGTTATGGAGGTTGTGAATTCATTCGGTAGGAGTTGAGCTGTGTTATGTTGCGCCAGGGGATGGATAGAATAGAGTCATTTGAAAACATTGGTCAAAAATGACTCCATGGCCCAATGGATAAGGCGCTGGTCTACGGAACCAGAGATTCTGGGTTCGATCCCCAGTGGAGTCGGTCGTTGCCACCTTATTTTTTCTCGAGTTGGGTTTACGGAGCTCAAAATGAGCTCAACTCGCGAGCCGGTCCATATGGTCCTGATCTGGGTTAGGAAAATTTAAACCCTAATACAAAACGGACCAAACGAGATAGTTCATCACAAACCGAGCATATCCAAACCAGTTCGGTAAGCTCACGAACTGGTTTGCGAGCTAAAATTTTTTTTTTTTATTATTTTAGTAGTTTTTTAATAATTTTAAAAAGATTTATCATTTTTAAATATTTTTTAGTATTTTTAAATACATTAATAATTATCTTTAATTATTATTTAAATAAATTTTTATTATATTTAATATTTTTTATTTTTATTCGGCTAGCGAGCCACCTCGCGAGGTAGAACGATTTGGATCGAGTTAGGCTGAAAACGAGCTGTCTCGTCATGGGCTGGTTCGAGCTGGTCCGAGCCGGTTATTTTGAGATCACTAGTTGGGCTGGATAAATCTGAATCTGAAAGAAACTTGTCCGGTGAACCTGCTCGGTCGGCCCCCGGGCTGGCTCGCGGTTCTGACCATTTTTTTTCTGTTGACTGAACTTCTCGGTCGGCCCCCGGGCTGGCTCGCGGTTCTGACCATTTTTTTTAGGGTTTCAAGTTGAAACGTCTTTTCGATCTAGAGTCTTTGACTGACTTCATTTTCTCTCGATCGACGACGGTTTTCTTTTTCTCTCTCGATCTGAGCTTCGTTCCTCGCCTGCATCCTCCTCCTTTCTCTGATCCGAGCCTCTCTTGTCTGCGTCCTTCGACGTCACTCCGCGCCGTCTTCTTTCTCTTCTCCATGTGACTCACCGACGGCTACTACATTCTTCTGACTCTGAGAAACCCCACCTCCTGTGCCTATCTATGCATTCATCTTTATGACTTCTGCAGATTCTTTATCCCTTCGCAGTCCACATCGTTCTCTCTTTTGACCCTTTGCCGGAACTTTCTCCCGCCAGTGATCTCTATCTCTCTCTCGCCGACCTTGACGGGTATGTTTTCGTCTCGGCTAAATAATGGTGCTTTTGCTATGATTCAGTGGTTCCATGATCCGAATTATGGATGCCAAATTCTCCGTTTCTAGGTCTTTTCTTCCCTCGTCCGATCGAGCTTCCTTCCTCTATGGCTTATATACCCATTGATTTGCGCGGAAAGTTTTGGAGATTTAGGTGTTTACAAGGTGTTCGATAGAATGACTGAGAGACATACCTAAAACTTGTTCGTTTCTTCTCATAGAGCCGTTTAGTTTGTAGACTCTTACATGTTTACTATAATTAAGTTTAGTCTGCGATATGTGTGTGTGTGCAGAAGGTATACAAAAAAAATGATTTATTAGATAAATATGGCTTCGGTTCACGAACTGGGACGATTTGGACGAGCCAGAAGTTTTCTGACTCGCCAAAAACGTGCTGCAGACGGGTTAGACTGGAATCGGGCGCCCGATCGAGCCCGAGGCTGCCCGTTTTGCACCCCTAGTCCGAAGTTACTTTGTGTGTGACTGTGTATCCTTTTTTTTTATTTGTTTCTTCCCTTTTCAGTTTTTGTCCCTCCGGTGATTGTTTCTCCGAGTCCTTCCTGTTCTCGCGACGATGTCGAGATTCAGGATTGCAAATGCCTTTCCCTTCTCGAGGTTCTTCAGGTTCGTCTTTCGTGTCTCTCTTTTCTTAAGGGTTCTGTTTCCATCGAATTTCAGTTAACTGTTTTCTGTAGATGAACGCCTCTTTTGCTGTTTTCTGTATTTTGATTTGTGTGGGTGAGAGAGTTGGCCTTGCTCAACTGGGGTCTAGATTCTTAGATTGTTTCCTTCGGATGGATGGATTTCTCTTTCCAGGCATGGCCAAAAGACTACTACCGTTCTATGTTGATTGATGAATTCGAGCACATTGTCCGTATGATTTGTTGGCATTTGGTCTTGAAATTAGTCGGTTTCATGGCTTGAATATACTTAGGGCTTGGTTGGGTTCATCTTTCTATGTTTCTATGAAATACTGAAAATTTCTAAGTCCCTTGTCTTACAGGCAGCTTGAGCAAGAGGCGGAAACTGTGATCAATGTTCTGCAGCCTGGACCATTAGGGATCATAGAACACAAGTTCTCGGCCCAGGAAATTCGCGAGGCTAAAGCTACAATCCATAGAGCTGTGGAGAACTGGCGGAGGCATGCTGAGCAAGAGACCAACAATGGTGTCTTAAAAGACTACATCTCTAAGTGAAGTCAAGTGAGTAACCTTATTACTGATGTATTACGGCCTTTCTTTATGCTGGGAAGACCCATGAGGCTCATTTATTAAGAGTAAGCTGCGCTAAATACTTTTTTTAAGCTTAAATAGGTTGACATAAACTAGCAGGCTGGCTAACTAATCATACAAGTTGTAGATCTTAGCACTAGCAGATTAAAAAAAAAGGTGTGCGAGTTAACGACCCCAAACCCCAACAGAGTAAAAAACCCAGTCCCTTGTTGTTCTAGTTGCACTAGATGGATAGACATTACATTACCTGGTTTACACCCCAGCTGTGATAAAGCCTTTTCGCTCTCCTGACCATTACGTAGACATTTGATCTATTGCTCGTACACTGTCATATTCGCCCCAAATCCCCTGATATTAGTGACTGGATCTAGTAGCTCATGCTTGTTTGTCAGAATGACACAGCATGAGAGAACTCAAGTGTGCTTGTTTGTTTTGTTTTGATAAGATACGGAGCCTATTTATAGTGTTGGATTTTGGGAAGAGGGTAAGACAGCATATATATTGAATCTTTCCTATTTAAGATTTTATTTTATTTTACCGTATCTGATTAATTGAGATAGACCATCATGTTTGCAGAGTCAACCCATTTCAAGTAACCCACAGTTTCAGCTCAAGAAGACGAGAAAAGGGAAAGGTTCTGTCTTTGTAATAATATAAGACAAGCCAGATCTAGGAATTTTCCAGATACATTCATTACGGTACATCATTGGAATGATTTGATAAAATATGATATACTATATAACCTATGAAGAATTCTCAACCACACCGCTGCTGACTGAACTTCGCTGCAGTATTTCTCAAACCCTCAGACGGGGGTTGATGCTGCCATTTGGCTCAGTTTCTGGTAGTTGAAAGGAGAAGCTCCGCCGGAGAGGCTGGAGCTCCTCTCAAGCCTCTCCTTCTCGACAATGCGGTCAACAGGCTGTCTGTTTCACTGGTGCGACGGCAAGTTCTTGACCGTATCCTCCTTGACCTGCTTTTGCTGGGCCTTGTTTCCTGCCTTCTCCAGCTCGGTTGCCTTGTTCTGCTGTTGTTTGGCTGAGGATGCATAGGACGAAGCATGAAGCCTGCTAACCTAACCTAAAGGCATCGCCATTCGTAAGTAATGAAAATACAAATCTAAAGAAAGGTTCCACGCCATAGACTAATAATGTTCCACCATAAATTACTTGGCCATCTGCCATTTCGAAGTCACAATGGCAAAAACATGAGACGAGGTTATGATGCAATCCCCAAAAGTAGCTCCAAGACGGCGGGGTTATCAGATAAATCGGGAAACTGGAAAGAAGTCAAACATACCTTGTGGTTTCCAAGTAAAAACAGCCGCCCAATTAAACACAAATCGTTTCGGCCCATTAAGAGATCCCAACAAAAAAATATTTTTTTAAAAAAATAAAATAAAATCAGGCGCTACATAAAACCCTCTGTCCTGTTCAGAGGGTTAGGCTTAAAAAATATCCAAATATTCGACGTTTCCGCTCCGTCCTCGCACATTTTCACGTGAATTTTTTTAATCTTAATAAAAAATTAAATAAATGCACGAGACTGACACAGGAACCGATTGTCGTTTCAAGCTTCTTCCTCAAGGAAAAGGAAAAGTACAACTTTCCCTCCTCCAATGGCATTTGTCAATGCATTTATTTAATGCATTTTTACGTGATGCCCACAAGCCAAAGGTAACTACTTTTTACGATAGCGGCCAGAGAAGTGGGAAAAATATCGGTCTTTTTAGGGCATTTTGGGGATTTGAAGAAAGATCCGCTGGAGCTCTTCAAGATTCTTCTCCTACCAAACAATCTCCGGTCACTGTCGGTCATTCTCTATCCTTTAATCGGATGAGGGAAAACCCTAGATTTTGAAGACAACCCACAATCCAAGAGAGCCATGATGGAGGCCGAGAACCAGAAACGACGTCGTCTCTGCGATTACTGCGACGCCTCCGTGGCGCTACTGTACTGCAGAGCTGACTCGGCCAAGCTCTGCCTCGCTTGCGACAACGAGGTTCACCACACGAACCAGCTCTTCGCTAAGCACTCGAGGTCACAGCTCTGCGACTCGTGCGACGACGCCGCTGCCTCCGTCTTCTGCGAGACCGAGCGCTGCGTTCTATGTCAAAACTGCGACTGGGAACGCCACAGTTCGTCTTCCGGAGACGGAAGATCCTACATCGAAGTCACAATGGCAAAAACATGAGACGAGGTTATGATGCAATCCCCAAAAGTAGCTCCAAGACGGCGGGGTTATCAGATAAATCGGGAAACTGGAAAGAAGTCAAACATACCTTGTGGTTTCCAAGTAAAAAAAGCCGCCCAATTACACACAAATCGTTTCGGCCCATTAAGGGATTCCCAACAAAAAAATATTTAAAAAAGAATAAAATAAAATCAGGCGCTACATAAAACCCTCTGTCCTGTTCAGAGGGTTAGGCTTAAAAAATATCCAAATATTCGACGTTTCCGCTGAAGTATCCGTCCTTGCGCATTTTCACGTGAATTTTTTTAATCTTAATAAAAAATTAAATAAATGCACGAGACTGACACAGGAACCGATTGTCGTTTCAAGCTTCTTCCTCAAGGAAAAGGAAAAGTACAACTTTCCCTCCTCCAATGGCATTTGTCAATGCATTTATTTAATGCATTTTTACGTGATGCCCACAAGCCAAAGGTAACTACTTTTTACGATAGCGGCCAGAGAAGTGGGAAAAATATCGGTCTTTTTAGGGCATTTTGGGGATTTGAAGAAAGATCCGCTGGAGCTCTTCAAGATTCTTCTCCTACCAAACAATCTCCGGTCACTGTCGGTCATTCTCTATCCTTTAATCGGATGAGGGAAAACCCCAGATTTTGAAGACAACCCGCAATCCAAGAGAACCATGACGGAGGCCGAGAGCCAGAAACGACGTCGTCTCTGCGATTACTGCGACGCCTCCGTGGCGCTGCTGTACTGCAGAGCTGACTCGGCCAAGCTCTGCCTCGCTTGCGACAACGAGGTTCACCACACGAACCAGCTCTTCGCTAAGCACTCGAGGTCACAGCTCTGCGACTCGTGCGACGACGCCGCTGCCTCCGTCTTCTGCGAGACCGAGCGCTGCGTTCTATGTCAAAACTGCGACTGGGAACGCCACAATTCGTCTTCCGGAGACGGAAGATCCTCCGCGGTTCACAGCCGGAGACCCTTGGAGGGTTTCACTGGTTGTCCTTCGGTGACGGAGCTTCTGGCGATTGTCGGGTTCGATAATCTGAGCGATAAAGCTCTGGTTTTGAGCGAAGATGGCGTTGCCGGGTTACCGGGTTCCGGGTCAGCCGGGTTGTCGGAGTGTCTGCTCTGGGAGACTCCGGAGATCGTTAGCCTCAACGATCTGATTGCTTCGGGCGGTTCGGATCACAATTTCCGGGCCATGGATATTCCTCCTCTACCGAAGGTAAGTGCCCCCCCTTCCATCTCCATTTATTAGTTGCCCTATGCAATTTCGTCACTGATGATTCTCTACCAAAGAACTTTAGCTCCTTTTTGTGGATACTGTAGTGATCAAATTAAAGTATTCAGGCGACATTTTTAGAGTAAGAGTTGAAAGTCGAAGCACATAAGCTGAAGAAGCGGATGGGCAAACCTTTTATTTTTGTTTGAACTTAAACCCTGTTGAATCAGAGGTTGCTACTTGTTGATTCAGAATCGTCATGCCGCCTGTGGGAAACACGAGGTCGAAATGCTCCGGCAGTTTCGCGCTCTGGCGAAATCTGAGCCTCCTTGTCTCAAACACGAAGCTGTAGATACAGAGCTCGACGTCGGTCTCCAGTTTCTCGGTTCGGAAGCAGGGTATGATCCTGAAAACTTCAGTCCGTTCCCATCCTGGGAGGTGAGTATTGTCGTGTTTCTAAATCTGTTTGTTCATTCACATGAGGTTAGAACTTCTCTCTATTTCAATGTACCAACATGTAGCGTGACAGTGAAAACTTGAGGTGGTGAATGGGATTAAACGGGAATGATGGGATGTGTGAAGCAGGTGAATGGGATTAAATGGTCAGATTTAGAAGACGATGATGCCATTCCATACATTTCTTCGCCAAGAAACAGCATCTCAGAGGAGAAATGGAACTCTGCTGACAATGTTATAAGGAGGAGCCACTGTCCTGAAGAAACGGTGATGGTTCCAGTAGTGAGAAGGGCTCTGCCTCATCACGAGATCAATAGCCAGGAGAGGGACTCTGCTCTCTCACGATACAAAGAGAAGAAGAAAACGAGAAGGTATTCATTCACTCAGGGATGTCATGTTGGATATACTACGTCCGAATGTTTCAGCTGATGTACACATGCATACATACATGCAGGTATGAGAAGCACATCCGGTATGAGTCACGCAAGGTTCGGGCAGAGAGCAGGGCCCGAATCAGAGGGCGCTTTGCTAAGGCAGATCCATGAAGCATCCATCCACTGGTGCCTCTTCCTCTTCATGATTGAGAAATTTCAAAACAACTATTTGTTTGTTTTAAGACAATGAACGCTCTTACAAGTTACAACCTTTGTTTTTACTTTGCGGCAGAGCTTTGGGGGGAGAGGACAGAACAGGCGTACGGAATTTGTGTGGTTTTTCTTTCTTAAAACGTTTCTGTACTTTTTTGTTGTTGTTGTAAATATGAAGCAGAACTCCGCAGAGAAAGAAAACAACGGAGAGGTGCTCCATTGCCAACGCTGTGTCCTGATGTGGCTATCTGTAATATGTAGTTTTATTTGTTATATATATATATATGTAAGTGCTAATGATTAAATTACAAGAAAGCGAGCACACTCGTGTCTACACAAGCATCTTCACTTGCGCATATATATATATATATATATACACACGCACCTCCATACATAACATCTATGTGCACACGCGCACATTCTATAGTGTTACACATTTGCGTATACGCTATGCATAGCTATATATTTACATATATATTATACATGATCTATATATACGCACACGGATATGAAGAGTGGATAGATGTGTTTGTTTTACAAATGTATGCGCATCATTGTAAAAGTTATAATATCATATATATATATATATATATACTAGATTATAACATATTTTATATATATTATATACATATACAAAATACAAATATTATACATTTGTACAAATATGCGTATACATACACAGATATGAATACATACATATGGATGCATATATACAAACATACATAAATAGATACATATACAATATATATAGATATAAACACATTAATATACATATGTACATAAAATATACATATAAATACGTACATAATAATGGAAAATGATTAAAAATATTTAAAAAATATATAACTATTTATGATAAAAAAAATAACGTTTTTAGTGTATTAAATCGTAATTGTAATCGTTATTCTTTGTAAATATCTACTTTCACGTATATAACAAATCTGTTTCAGGTTGAGAGTTTCGTCGTATCGTTACAGTCTTCAAGACACTCATCTTTTGCCACCATAAAAGATCGATTTTATTCGTTGCTGACGAACTTTACAGAATCTCCCTCAACGAGATCGTGGGGAGAGACCCCGCCAGCGGTGAAGATCGAGAGAGAACTTGGCGGAGACCGGACAGCAAAGATGGCAAAATCAAAGGCGGTAGGGCGTCGGAGGCCGGCAAACTGAAGTGAGAAGGACAAGATGTCCAAGTGCGAAGCTGAGAACAGTTTACACTGGTTTTTGTTGTAAATATTAAGAAAGTTAGGGGTATTTAAGGTAATTTGATATTATACAGAACGACGACGGAAGCCATGAACTTTAACACACCAAATTTTAGAAAGACGCCCATTAGAATCTGACCCAAATCAAATATCTAAACTCTCTCCCTCTCTATTCATAATAGGATCCACTCTCTTCTCTTCAAAAGCTCATCTCGTAACATGACCAGCCACCAGACCTTTGAAAGCCTAAATCAATCTTCTCCAGTGATTTGCCACGGCGAACATAATTCCTTTTAGCTGACAAACAAAGAAAGATGAAAACTTTCCAAGTTTTCGGGTTATTCACAGGCTAACTTGGTGTCGAAGCTGCTAAGGCATATGGCGAAAGCCTGGAAAGCCGAGATCGGGTACTGGTAATCCATGGTGAACACGTCTTTGCCAACTTTTCCGAACTGGAGAATTACGCTCTCGTTCTCTGGGGAGGCGACCAGCTGAAAGTTTTTGACAGAAGCAACCGTTACTCGGCCATTGAAGTTGAGGCACCAGCACTGGAGCTGTTCATGCCACCTGGGCGCTTTGTTCTTCAGCACCAGCAGTTCGTCAGAAGGGAAACTCTCTGACCGAGTTGATTTTGATCTGAACGAGGGAATTGATGGGAAACTCTCCACATTACTGTGGAGAAGCTCTGTCTGAGTCGGAGCTGTTCCTCCTGGTCCCATGGCTGACGCTGGGATTCCGTCCATCGTGCATTGCATCCTCCTCGGCCCCCTTTCACAATCAAATACAGTCATATAATCAATACAACCAACGTTTGTTTATTCCCACAAGATCGTTGGTACAGATCATTATCACCTGGAGCCCAAGACGTTGAGCTCGTATGAGATATGGGCTGTGGGATAGTTGCCAGCCGGGATTCTTCTAGGGCTCGCTTGTTTTGAATTGAGAAGCCTCCCGGGATTAGTTGGCTGGACGTCGTAGACAGTGAACTTGGTCCCGAGAAAGTTAGATCTTGAAAGAAAGTGGGTGGAAATATATCCAGCGACTCCCCACTACAGTCATACAATCAATACAACCAACGTTTGTTTATTCCCACAAGATCGTTGGTACAGATCATTATCACCTGGAGCCCAAGACGTTGAGCTCATATGAGATATGGGCTATGGGATAGTTGCCAGCCGGGATTCTTCTAGGGTTCGCTTGTTTTGAATTGAGAAGCCTCCCGGGATTAGTTGGCTGGGCGTCGTAGACAGTGAACTTGGTCCCGAGAAAGTTAGATCTTGAAAGAAAGTGGGTGGAAATATATGAATTACGAGATGAGATACTTAGTAGTACATTTTCATGGAATGATAACCATGTATATACCTTAGCTTTCCTATATAGGTACTGCTTCCCTTTGATACATCATCGGTATTTAACGAGATGACGTAATCCGTGCAAGTTGGCCTCCTGAACCTCTTCGCAGCAAGAAGGAACTTCCCATCTTCGTTCGAAGCTTTTGATTCATAAAATAAAAAGAAACTCTTCAACATTAATTCCACATGGAAGTTTTGTTACTTAATGAGTTTTCGTCATCTGTTACTTAATGATTCATGAACAAAAGTGTAAGAATTTTTTTTTTTAAATAAAAAAAAAGACGAGAAAGAACGGATAGGCCTATTAGTTACCTTGATTTAACCCAAGGTATAGATGGTAAATTTGACTGCCATGAATTCTCTTTATATAGCACTGAATAAGTGATCCCCTTGGACCCGGCTGCGATAAGAATCACAAATGTTAGCCGAAAATCAAGAATTTTTAAGAGTGTTACTTGCTACGAACGGATAAACAATCTACTATAAGCCATATAACAGGGATCTTGAACCTGTTTCAGGGAGATGGGGAACGTCAACTTGCCCGAAACTTGAGGAACTTTAACAATCTCCTTCATGATTTCTCGCCAGTTCCTACTCCCCGTCTCCCAACTCAAAACCCTCATCCAGAACCAGCTCCAGATCCCTACCCATAACCAAACTTTGTCCACAAATCGGAATCTTCTCCTCGCCAAAACTCCCGAGGATCTCGTCCGGTGCAGCGACATGGCCGACCCCAACCTCCGTCTCTCTTCACTGAATCTGGCTCACGGATCCATTGTCTATCTTGCGTACGAGGGCGAGGATTTTGAAGGTATGAGAGCGAGGAATTGTCGAGAAATTTAGGGTTTGGTGTTGTATGAGAGACGGAATAGGGACGAGTGGTGTGTGAGAACTGAGAGAGTGTGGATGTGGCTGTGCGTTATCCAATTCCTCCGTCACGTTGGGTTCATTTTAATATTTAATAACGTAAATTTGAAATTATTTTTTAACTACGCAGTGATAATGATTAAGCGAAGTAAGAGTGGGTGGGAGTTTTTAACTTTTAACCGTATCTATCTATAGATTATGCATCAACTTTTAACTTTTTTTTCACTATTTATTACTTCAACCCAAAACTGTTACACCATATTATCTCTCTGCAACATATAGCGATTTTGGTAATTTCCTTTTTTTTAAATGATTTTTAGATCTTGTACATTGAACGAATTTGAATGAGAATCTTTAGGCGTGAATAAATAAATAAATACCGAGGAGAAAAAAATTGAAACTTTTGTTCAGAAAGGGATATATTTCTGCTTTATTATAAAGAGGCGTGATCTCCGCCTCATTATTTCCGCCAACTTCCGACGGTCCAAAAAGCATATTACATAATACATAGTACTAAAAATTTAAATTCACCAACAAACGCTGGTGGTTCATACAATGATTGAGGACTCAGCCCAATAATTTGTCCACAGGCCCGGCCCAATAACATATATCACCACAGCCTCAGATACGAGGCCCATCATCAACACACGATGCATGGAATAATACAAATCAAGGGAGATTGGCGACTGGTGGTCCAAAAAGCATATTACATAATACATAGTACTAAAAATTTAAATTCACCAACAAACGCTGGTGGTTCATACAATGATTGAGGACTCAGCCCAATAATTTGTCCACAGGCCCGGCCCAGTAACATATATCACCACAGCCTCAGATACGAGGCCCATCATCAACACACGATGCATGGAATAATACAAATCAAGGGAGATTGGCGAGGCGCTTGAAACGGCGTCGTTCACATCGTCTTCCTTTTCCTTCTCCAACTCTTTACTCCCCTCCCTTGGTTCCTTTCCTATTTGTGGCACAGTTTCTGGACGTTGCATCAGATGTGCCCGCCTTGGCAGAGTGCGTGAGACTGCAGTCTCCAGTCCCCGAGGGCTATGCCCTTCTCATCGAGTCCATGGCCAACACTGCTTAATTATTTTTTTTTGTAATACATGACCGTCGGTTCAATGTACTACTACTATTGCATGTTCTTGTAGAATCTTTTCTTATTCTCAATGGCATCTGGATAAGAATACTCGGAATGAGGAGGACTCTCACACACTTGATTAGACCAATGGATCAGAATCTATATACCTTTTTATCTAGATGGTTGTGTCCTAGAATCTTGCATTGTAGAATATTGCGAAATGGTGTTTCGTTCATCTTCTCCCAGCAAATCTCAGAAATGGTGTTGCGAAAGCAATCCCTGGATTCTTCTCCTCCTCCACACTTTTTCTTGACAATGCGCCCACGACGGCCGGAGGGAAGGGAGGTGAACAAATTCTTATGGAAAATAAAATAGATAGAAAAAAAAAATGGAGATGCAGGGGATCGAACCCTGTACCTCTCGCATGCAAAGCGAGCGCTCTACCATTTGAGCTACATCCCCTCATGCCTTCTCATCTATTTTAAACCTTTTCAATTACAGATCCAATTCGGAAGCTGATTCAGCTTGGAACACAACCAAAGTTCGAAAAACCATTAAGGGTCCAGTGGACTTTTTTTTTTTGGTGAGATGTGATTTGTATTATCCGTAAAAATTACAATCAGTCAAAAGTTTAGACCAAAATGATTACAAAAGAACTATAGAATTCCCATGCGAAAGTGGACAAAAAAGACAAGCAATAGCGCAAAAACAATACTCAAGGTAATGGGTGGAGCATAGATGGTATCAATCTGCAAGGTAGTGATTCTCGTCGCGGTCCTTTGTCGGGTCGTTGACGGATAGCAAGATATCTCGGATCGTTCGGTCAACTTTTCGCTTCGTAACCTCGGGCGTGTGAGACTTTTCCCGGAAAATCTTATTGTTCCGTTCTCTCCATAAAAGCATGTGCGATCACATGAAGGCATGTTTTAGCAATCGGCGTTCTCTCGCGGCTTCGGTCATTAGTAGGATTCTCGATCCACTGTTGACAAAGAAGAAGGCTGGTCGGGGGGTTCGACCAGCAGTAACTAGCGAATTAACTCCAGATTTCATAGCTGTAAGTGCATTCGAAAATAAATGTGAGTGGCTTTCGGTTCTGGTAGCGCAAAGCACGCATGTCTGATCCCCAGCGACTCCCCACGTCATCAGTCTGTCCTTCGTGAGAAGTCTTCCTTGAATAGCCTGCTACAGTGAAAGGAAAATCTGGGTCCATTGGACTTGCATGTATCGGGTCCGGCCATTTGTTTTAAGGTCCAGTTGATTATAATATCTAACGTCGTTATAACTCGGTATCCTCTGTTAGCCCCCTAGCCAAAACCCGATATATAAAAGCTCATCAGACGTCGGAGAAAAAGGGAATTTTCTATGTTGAGATTCTGGATTCTCGAAGAAAACAGAGAACGCCTCCGTTAATTATGACGTCATCCCAGAAGATTCTCCCCCGCGAAACGAACTCCGACCGCTGTCTCCGCCGGGAATAGAGGACGAGCCACCGACACCTTTGTTGGAGTTTAAATAAATAACACTCATACGTACCCGGTAAGATGACAACTTCAATCTGATCTGATAATCCTATCTTCAACCTATACGTATGAAACAATAGGGAACCCCGGATATGACTTTCAAGGCGTGATACACTTTACTAAAAGCGTTATTCTATCTCTACCGGGTAAATGGGATTATAGGAATGCACTTTTGAGATACAATGAAGCGACAATGATTTCGATTTACCCTTCCGACAATCATCAAATAGAACCTTGTTTAATCGAAAACAAAAAGACCCTTGCGATAGTTTTTTTGCATCTCTCATAAAATCACTTGATCTTGTCACACATTCATATTTTTTCTCTTATTCTTTATATTATATGGTCTCTAGTGTGTTTATAAACACCAAAACGTCGAAAAGACATGAAAATTCGCAAGTTTTCGTCGACCGGTCGCGACTTTTCGCTCAAACGGATGCTCAGAAAAAACGGGCTAACCGCTCGTTTATTAGAGCTACCGCCCGTTTATTCGAGCTTTATCCCTCAGAAAAAACAGACTGTCCACCCACATTTTCGAACTGTCCTCCCATTTTTTCTGAGATCATTTTTCACGTTCTAAACCAAACGTAACTTTTTCCGACGAATCATAACACTTTAAACCAATTCACGACACGTCTTTTACAAGTATTTTACTCCTCCACCATACTCGTAATACACGTGCATCATGAATCCCATGAGAAATTAAAACCAATCAACCGTTTACTTTAAAATACCAACAACCTTCTCATCGCCGGCGATGGAGTTTACCGGCAGAATCTCTCTCGACAGGGGCGAAGGTGGGGAACATCAAGGCGTCAAGCTTGACAGAATCGTCAAACGTTTGACGGAGAGAAGATACAGTTTCTACCTGGGGTCTGAACTGTCTCCGTGGGGGGCCGTTACGTACGGAGACTGTGGTGGGACGGAGGAAGGAAACAAGTAAGGAAGAACTCCCGCAATTTTTGACGACGTTGTCTAGCAAGCAATGGACGGCCCAGATTCCGTCTGAGGAACGTGAGGGTCGAAGGACGGCTGGGGATCGCCAGAGTGGCCGTCGAAGAACCGGAACTGGCCAGTATACGTAGAAGAGAAGGGCCAAGGGTAGGAACATTGAGAATATATCTTATACCAAAAAAAAAAAACATTGAGAATATATCAGCCGACAAGAACAAGAAATGAACAAATAAAAAAGAACAAGAAGAACAGCCAGACGACAAAATGTCACTCTTATAATCGGACAACTTGTTAATTATTTCACTTATTGGATTATGCTATCATTGATAGCCTAATACTTTCATTTTTATTGTTGGCCTACATAAATGATAATATATCCACTAACTAAAATAAAATGTTAATTATGAGCGGTCCATTGAATTATATGGTATAATTATTCATTGATTTTTTTAAAGAGCAATCGGTATAAATAGATGTTTGAGATCCCTGAACTAACAAAATTTTTCAAAAAAATATATCATCGTATGAACTTTGTAATAGTTTAGAAAAATCCAAACCAATCACTTCGACAATTAATCAATGTGTTTTATGATTCAGTTTATATTCCGCATAAATGATTTATATATTAAATTTTACATACATATTAGATTTAAAAATATAACAGTTGGTATCAGAGTCTAATATACCTCTATTTTGAATATCATTTTTTGAAAAAAAATTATAAATCTATAATTAATAATACAGATTAGTGTTGAAAACAATAAAATTGTTTCATAAAATCAACATGCAATAATATATTTACAAAGAAATTTTTGAATAAGAAAACAAATTTAAAAAACTTTAAAATACCTTGTCATATGGAACGTTAATGGAGATCTATATACTTCAATTCATCTAGTTGAATCCTTCCCCAAAAAAAATAAATCTCTCATGCATGTCCCTGCCATTCTCTCTTTCTGTTTGTAAAATAGGTAGAATGAAAAAAGAGAGGAGAACCTAGGGTTTCTTTAGTTATATTATTTAGGATAAATTTCTATGTATTTTTCTTTCGTTGTAATTTTGATCATGGATTTTTTTTATTCTATTAAACTCTTTATTTGTCATATCTAATAATTAAAAATATATATTTTTACAAATTTACAAACAAAAATCTAGACGTAAAAATTAACTTTTCAACATTGGCATGACAACAATTTCGTCGTACATCTTCAATTATCTAATATTTAATAATATTAAATAATAAAAATTATTAAAAATTATAATAATATTAATAAAAATATAATAAAATTTGAATATATACATATGTATACATATATATATATATATACATTGGTGGATTCAACATATGTTGTAATTAGGGCTAACATAAGAGTAAATTTAATTTTAAAACGGAGGCATTCAACCATTTTAATTAATTTTTTTTGAGAAATTAACATTTTTTTATAATAAAGTGGGACATGTGACCCTATTAACTTATGAATGGGTCCGTCCATATTATATAACATTGATTTTCTTTATGAAGATTTTATAGAATTATTATATTTTTAAGAAAATTCTAGATAACAATTATTTTTATTATTTTTATCCGTTAATATTAAAGGTAATCTTTTCAAAAAATCTATTTTTTTTTATGATCATTGTCTTAGTATGATACTATATAAAAATCATAAGACTAATCGATAATTAACTAATTGGTCAAATCGTCAGAGCGATCATGCCAATTTAAACTAGTCCTACTTTTCAATGGGTCATATTACAATATTTTGTAATTTTAATAAAAATATTGGTTTTTTTGGAAATTTGATATATAATGATATTTTTATAATTTTATTTAAAATGTTGGATTTTAGAAAACTCTAGATATTTTAAGGTTTTATAAACATGTGCTTTGTCATTTTTGTCATTTTGTAGGTTGTTTTGCCCTTTTGGTTGGTGGGTCTGGAAGAGCTTCTTCTCCTTGGGAACAGAGATGGAGGAAGAGATCGAAGGAACGCAGACAACAAACCCTAAGGTAGTAGTATTACATCAAATACTGCACGATTTCTCATTCTTCGCTTCCGTGCAAAGGCAGCGAACCTTTTTTAAAAAATTTATTCCGGCTGTCTTTTTCTCTCGACCCTTACTCTCGCCACTGTCCAAGCACATATCGATGCTTGCGTTAGTTAGATCTAGATTGGGATGTGCTCAGATCTTTTGCCGGAGCTAACAACATGGCGGGGGGAAGAAAAATAATCGATAAACCGGTCGGATTCTAGGTTTTTGATCACTGGGTACTTGGGGCACAGATGCGAGCGTCGTTAGTTTATTTGTCTGGGACTGTAGTACGAGTCTTTAACCAGAATGTGGCTTTGTTTTGAGGTATGAAAGGATAGGTCTTGCATGCTTGGGTTTGTGTCAATATGCCGATTAGACAAGTTGTCGCTGAAACCCGTGTTGTGTAATGTGAAAGAGGTGTGTTCCTAATGGTTATATGTCTAGAGGTACACAAATTATTGGCGCCTGATGTTTTACGGAGAAGAATAAAGTGAAGCCATTTCTATCTGAGTTTTGGATCGATATTGTAAGCAGTAAGTTTGATGGTGAAAATGGGGAGGATGTATCTTCAAGGAAAGGGAAAGCAACATTAAACAAATTCATTTGGGTCTTGTGTTCTCATTGTTTTGCTTCGATGAGTTTGTCTCTCTTGTAGACTTATAAGAGCTGAGCTATTCCTAAAGTTTGGTTCGTCGTCGTATCCTCTTTATTTAAGCATAAACTGTTGCAATGAATGATAGCATGCTTGTATCTGACTCTCTGACCTAATATTTCATACGGTGATATGTTTCAGAGCAATTTTCTTCCTTTTCGGCAGATATCAACAACTTTTTCTTCCACGACATTCGTTACGTAACATCATAGTCCTATCTTCGGTTCTTGTTTCAGCAGCTAGCTACCCTTTTGCCTCGTCTTGATTCTTAAACGTATAATTAGAAGTATTTCGGTGGTATTTTTTTTAATGATTGCTTCAAGCTTATTTATGCTTAGCACTTATGGCCATTGTTCCCATTTAGATACACATGTTGTCTGTTGGAAGGTATGTTTGGGGTTTCTCTTTGAGACTGAGAATTAATGTTACAAAATATCTGGGTGTGTAATTGTATCCTTGCTTTTCAGTAGATTATAACATTTTCCCGCCTTTTATTTTGTTTTGCAGTGTCGTCTTTCTCTTTGATCTTCTTGCATTGCCGTCTCTTTCTAGGTTGTCGATCGTACCCCTAGAAACATTTATGTGGTCTTTTTTTTAATGGTTGTTTTGAATGCGCCTTGTTTGGGCTTTCTTTAAGGACCGCTTTCGCTTGTTTGCCTTTCGTTCCCGTTTAGGTAAAGTTTGTTCTACATTGGTATGTTTTCTCTCTCTAAATGCGGTAAAGATCATTTGGTATACTTTCTCATATGCTATGTACGTTTTTCGTATAGGGCATATTTTTTTACTAATAGAAGCAGCTTATATAGATTATAGAATTCTGTCTTTGCTGAAATCCCTTATTTGTTATTGTGTAGCAAAAATCTCATAATCAGGGGAGATCAATCGATAAGTATGCTGCACAATGTGGAAAGTGCCTCAAGTGGAGGGTGATCAATACGCAGGAAGAGTATGAGGAGATCAGAAGTAGACAACAAGAGGACCCGTTTGTATGCGAGAAAAAACAGGGAGCATCCTGTCAAGAACCAGCTGACATTAACTATGATTCCTCCCGGACATGGGCCATTGACAAGCCTGGCTTACCCAAAACCCCTAGAGGTTTCAAGAGGAGCTTAGTTCTTAGGAAGGATTATTCCAAGATGGATGCTTACTACATAACTCCTACCGGGAAAAAGTTAAGGACTCGCAATGAAATCGCTGCTTTTCTGGAGGCCAACCCAGTTTACAAGGATTCACCTCTTGGAGACTTCAATTTTACTGTTCCAAAAGTGATGGAAGACACTCTTCCTCCTGGCATTATTAAAGGCGGCTCTCCTAGTGGCATGTCTAGTAAGAGTTCCAAGCCATCTAAGGATAATTAGTCAGCCAGTATTATATCTCGAAGAGGATGACCCTTGTGCCAAATCTTCCAACCCCTTTTCTTGTGAACCTATGACTTTTCAAGCTTTTTGGTCATTATTGATCTGCTGACTGCCTATAGAAACTATACAATGGCTGGTTTGAGCATATGGTGATGTTTCAATCTCTTGGTTTTCATTCTCATTTCATTATATGCAAAATAGTCTTATACAACGTCCAGACCATCAGCCATGTTTGTCTGTAAATCACTCACTATGTACGCCAGTCTCAACGGAATATCCGTGTGGTATCTATCTATCCACTCGACTGGTTATCCTAAACAACTGCTGCTCACTTGATAGATTCATAACATTTTCCTTCTCCCTGCAAATCATACAGCTCTTCATTCTACTGATCTGGCTTTGTATACTCCAACAACATGTGTGTAGATCTTCACAAGCGCCCCGTAAAGGCCTTCTTCAACTCCAAGCTCACCCTCTGCTCTGGCACCGTATTCGTCTTCGCACATTGCTATCAATCCATACATCCATCAGAGACAGTAGAAACTTGTCGATGAAAATGCACAAGCGATTTATGAGAAAACAGTCTGGATTTGGGAAATCACCTGTCACAGGAAGGTAGGTTCTCGTAAGGTATTCTCGTCCGCAGGTCAGAGCACCGAAGCTGATAAGCCATTCCATGCATGTGTAAGGAAGAGGAAGAGGAAGAAGAATGGAGGAAGGAACAACCCTGAGCACGTAAAGGATGAAGCACCCAAGGGCAGGGGAGGCGACGAAGCAAGGAATTAAATCAGTAACGGGTTGGCAGAGGGAATGTTTTGCATGGACATGTTTTAGGATTGCCGCATCAGCACACTACGGCTGAAAAGGCTATATATCTATGTTTTCGTTTCCTGTTTTGATCATCGGTTGTTTTGAGAAGAAATTGGGGAATGGGGAGAGGTGAGGCCTCTCAATAATCAAAGCTCTCAGGTTGTATTTCTGTTTTGGAAGGAATACGAAGGCCGTTTCTATCTACAGATCTTATCAAATTGGTATCAATCATTCCCTCTGCCAAACTGTTACTGATTTTAATTCCTTGCTTCGTCGCCTCCGCTTCATCCTTCACGTGCTCAGGGTTGTTCCTTCCTCCATTCTTCTTCCTCTTCCTTACACACGCATGGAATGGCTTATCAGAAGCCTGATGAAACGCCCAACTGCAAGCACAATGTTATGTAGAGCCCCCAAATGCTGAATTTGCTGTGTGTCCTCGAGAATACCCTCTGCATGTCACCAGGTGTTGATATTGTTTTTAACACAACATTGACAAAAAACCACAGCTCCTTCATATGATCAAATGGGAAGTTGAAGCAGAAGTTAATTTACTTACGTGGGGGCGTTTCCTCGGACATTATGATGGCCATTGGTCCGTCCGTACCTTTGCAAGCACTGATATTTGATGGATTGATATCATGATTCACGAGTAGTTCTGCACTAACTTCACCCTTCTGTAACAACAGTGGCAATACTGCGTTTTAGTGAACTCTCTAGTTAATGAGAATTCAGGATTGGAAATGAGAATTCAGGATTACCTGGTCTTCAAAAGGCCTGACATCGCCAGAGCCAGTAATGCGGAAGTATTTTTGATAGAGATTATGTACTCTAAATCCATCTACAGAGCCATTCAGAACCTTTTGGACATCAGATTTTTCGGAAGATCCCCAGGGTCAACACGTCTTTCAAATTTTACCATTTCCTTGCCTTTGGGCCGATCTCCGTTAAGAACACAAGAAAAAGTGATATCCATATCTGTGTCAACACTGGCAACAGATTGACAACATATAAACTGGATATCGTTTTCGTAACAGGTAGGCAGGATGCCTTTAGGGCTGAGATCTATATTGAGATTAACCCTATCCCATGGAAGTTTCTCAAAGAGGGTTGTCTGGTACAAAGTCAGCTTTCCGAAGGTTGGCATCTTTTATTGGGTTGGCAATGTTTGTTGGGTTACCACTGCTATACATCTGCAAAGGAGAAATTCATAAGCAGCAAAATATCCATGTAAATAAAAAACCTGACTAAGATTGGCTTAAAGAAGCATTATATAAATACTTTTTTTTTTCTCAAGATTCTTACCAGCATAGGAGCCCAGATTACACAGATCAAGATGAAAAACAGGCATATCCCATTGCAACATTTAGTCATTTTCGTTTGCTTCTCCCCAGGTTTGTGTTTAGCCTGATACACAACTGCATCACATTTCACAAGGTACAAACTTGCATTTACATTCTCCAGCTGCAAGGGAAACAAAGACCTAATTCTTATGTATGCTATGGAATGGAAACCAAAAAAAAAAAAGATGGAACATCCACGATCACAATGTCTAATCACCAGGACTTTAGACAGCAAAGCAGGGGAGGGGAAACAGCTACTTTTCAGGCTTAGCAGATTCATTGCTTTAAGAAATTATGTTTCTTCTGGGCAATGTAAAGATGGATCTCTTGCCATCCAAGGACCATATAGATTTCGCACATACCTTGAGCCAGTCGTACATTGTCAACGATGTAGTTGTGCAAGACCAGTAAAGTACACATCACAATTCATACAGGAAAGGAAGAGCACGGTAAAGCCTGTAGCCCTGGTAATTGATCTGAGAAACTTCACTAGTCAAGAACTGGCGATACAGGGTGTCTTTATGTGGCAGTCCATGCCGAATTTGTATGGCCTGGAGAGCTAGGGACACTGCTTCGGCAAGAAATATTGCACGGAGAAAACCCAGCAGCATGTTGCTGGCTAGGAAATATTTTCCAAGCATACTCCGTCACTGCATATGTGAAAAGAACAAGACTGAAGAGGTAGAAAATCACTTTTCCAGTTGCAAATGAGCAAAGATAAATGGCACGATCAACAATCATCAAGAAGAAGATGACCTGCCACAAGAGCATTCTCATGGGGTTACGAAGCTGGTGTACAATGAGAAATGATATTAGATAAACAAGGAGGAGAATTGAACATATGCAATGGACTCACCATTAGTATACTGACAAACTCTACGGGGAACTGGTCTTCAAACTAATACACCTCAAGAAATTCACTGATAAGTACAGTAGAAGAGGAAGCACAGGCCTTACGAGTGTTTGTCAAGGACAAACAGAGGAGATTAATGACGTGGAAGAGGTGGGAAAGGAGAGCTCAGCTGGGTTGGAGCTAAATCAGGGAGGTTGGTTTAGATATTATGCTATTTCTATATTTTCTAAGATTGCATTCTGTATTTCCTATTCTATGCTCTAGGGTTTTGTTAGTCATTTATTATAAATAAGAATAAGAGGGTACGGGGATAGATATCGAAGAATTGGCTGCTTTTCTTGTTGGAGAGAGTTTGGTGGCCTCGCAATAATCAAAACCTACCGAGTTGTTTGAGTAATAAAGCGTACCTTTACCGGAGAGTTCTATCATTCACTTTTATATTTTATGATCGATTGATAGAAAATGGCAACCAAGAAGAAGACGATCAAACAGCGCCAAATATGTAGGCATAGAGGTCTATTTCTCTCTTTCCTCCAGCAACTACAGAGAGAACAGGGTAAGGGAATCCGGTTTCTTCAACAAGTCCAGAATGTTGAGCTCTACGAATTTCCTTGGCCACATCTGAGGCAGGCGTCAGCGACTTGTACCATTCTGCTGAAGAACACCCATTCATCAGAGAAGCATACTCAACCTCTAGAACAACCAAAGCCTCATTTGGGCTTTCTTTACTTCTCTCTATGCTTTGTACGTGAATCCTACTTGAGAAGGGGCAAAGATCGGGGGTCTCCTTATCACATCTCTCGTTGTGAACAAGCCTAAGCAATGATTCCATCTTCAGGGCACATGCGAACATCCATTGTCACCTGGACAAAGTGAGGAGATTCCGCTCTTCGTGTCAACGATATCCAATATCTGCAGAAGCTTCTAATAATCATCTTCCCAAAATCTCTTAGCTTCTTGAACACATCCATGATCCTTTGGCTTCAGCTATCTTTCATAAGAGCCTTCTGGCCGTAATGGGTATTCCGACGTGAAGTAAAATCTGTGAAAGGAACACAGTCACCATCTTTCACTGTTATAGCGCTTTGAATGAGAATGAACAAATAGACAAGGAAAAGAGGCAATGAGCTGACATCAAAAGATGATTTTATTTTATGTGTAGGAAACCCCAAATCATGAACAAGATTTAAGTCAATGCTTAACCCGCAGTGCTGGATTATAACTTGGTAAAATGTACTGGACCAGGATATATATATTTCTGTGTAAATTAGCATCATAACCCAGAAGATGTGACTAGGACCAGTGTGAACACAGAGGGCATAAAGGAAGAGTGTTGCTAGATAGACCATGGAAAGAAGACTGAAGTTCCACAGAAATACTATAATGAAGCAGCAGTAGCAAACGATATCGTTATTAAACTGCATCCTTGACCATATATGTTGAAAGATCCTCCCTATCAGAAAGCTGGTGGCATCAGTACCCTTTTCAGATTTTAAAGATGCTGAACGCTCCAAAGGTGCATGTTTTCTTCCCTGACTCTCCATCTCATCATACACTTCGTCATCAACAGAGGATTGCTCATTTGTATCTGAGTGGTCCGGCGAAATGTTCAAGAAGTTTACAAGGTTATTAACTGCCTGATTTCCAATAGATTGAACCTGGGAAACACCATCCCCTATAAGTTGAATTGCAGAAATCAATGGATTATCTTTCCCATGAGACTTCTCCTTCCTTTTGGTTTCCATAGCACCGCCATCAAGATTATGTTGAACTTCAGTGATCTCACAAGGAGATGCTGCAACTGGAGACTTTGGGGAAGCAGGTGCATCTGGACTGGTATTTATAGGAAATTCATGGACTTCAAAAGGAAATTTTGAATCCTCATCAATGTGTTGCTTTTCTTTCCTGTGGTACACCCTCTCTTTCTCGGGGCTGACTGCACCACTATCCGGAATTAGATCAGGACCACGCCTCCTTCTTAGGCCTTCAGCATGCAGAGAAGAAACTCCAAAATTAACATCAGAATTCATTCTATGAAGCTGTATATCTTGTATGTTCAGCATTTCAGATTTCATCTTCTCAATCTGCAAGTTCCGCTTCCGTTTCTTTTCCTCAGCCTCATGAATTTGTTGTAGTTGCTCTGTTTTCCATGCAGCTTTC